TATATATATATATATATATATATATATATATATATATATATATATATTATAAACAAGAACTTTACATTTCTTTTTAAAAAGCAGGTACGGGAGAAAATTAGTAATGTTTGTAATGTCCCCTGTTTGGGTCATAAAGAGAGCAGCTCCATGCTGAGTGTTCATGGGCTTTCCTGACCCCAGCTTTGTTAGTTTTTTCAGTAGAACAGATGTGGGGTAAAGAGACAATCATCTAGATTTTATTTTCAGAATATAAAGAACATTTAGAAAACTAACAGCATTAATTATACCCAAGGTCCACAGTTACCTAATTGTACAAAGCTCAAGTCCTTGTTTTAGTAGTTGTGCTAGTAGATTTTTAGGTTTTCTTATTTTATTTTTGTTTTTTAACTTACATTTTCCCAAAACTATTTCCCACTTGAATTATCCCATCAGATTGGCTGTATAGGAATATCTGAATTTACAGTTAATTTGTAATTTTAAAAGTATTTTCACTTGCTTTTATTGCTTCATTCCAAAGCTGAGGAAATTATTTCAGTATGTAAGATTTTAATGATTATTGTGTGAATTGTTTTTCTGGGTAAGTTATCTACCACACTACAAAGAGATTGTTAGAGAAAGCATGATTGACACTACAAAGAGGTTGTTAGAGAAAACGTAGTCCTAGTACAGAATGGACAGTGCAGTGAGGATGGGACTCATCAGAATTGTGGAGCAGATACAAACAGTAGACTGGCAGATAAGGAAACCACTGGTTGTTTTAAGACATTCTTTGACTTATAGTTGATACTACCGTAGAGCTAGTTTCTTTTAAATTGCTTTATTGAGCCCTTAGAATTGTCAGTAATTAATCTGCTAGATATTTCTTTGCCCCAGTGTAATCCAGATGCTCGCTGGCTTTGCCAGGTGGCCTTTGCTTCTATCCAGCAGAAGGTACTAAACTAAAAACAAAAAACTACTTCATGTTCTGCATAGGTACATGCTAGATTTCTGGTATTTTGGGTAATAGTATTAACTGATGCATCTAACTTATTTTCTAGTGAGTGTTTAGAGTAGTTAGTATGATTGGTAGTAGTTGGGTGTGCTTTGTTCCACATAGTAATAGTTTTTATCAGAGAATGTCTTACAGCAAATTTCTGTTAATTTCCCAGAGGAACTTAGACTTTAACTGGTTGGTGGAAAGAAAGTAAATGAGCATTTTTTTCCCTTGTCTTTCATTTCTATGTACTGTAATTATTCCTTGTAGGGCCTATGTATTTTTACAGTTGACAAACTGTGTAGTTTGATAAACTTTTCATTGTAAGACTATTTTTTAGACTAATTCTTGTTTTAAAAAATAAAGTATATCCCAAGCAAATGCAGTGCTAACTGCCGTCACTGCCTGCGCTGGGCTTCTGTGCTGCCTTGAAGGGATTCACCTGCTATGTGACAAATAATTAAACAACAAATCACATTTTTGAAAAAGCCACTCAGGTCTGGGGAGACGGTTCAGAGGTTAAGAGCACTGGTTGCTCTTCCAGAGGACCCTGGTTCAATTTCTAGCACCTACATGGCAGCTCACAACTGTAATTCCAGTTCCAGAGAATTTGTTATCTTCACACAGACATACGTGGAGTTAAAACATCAATGCATATAAAAATAAATCTTAAAAAAAGGGGTTACTCAGGCCAGTGAAGGATTGTGGTCAACTGTGTTCACTTTCTTCCCTCCTGTTCCTTCCCTTTTTTTCTCCCTCCCCCAGCCCCCACTGCTAGAAGATGTATTTCCTGTATTTTTTGGTTTTCTTTTTACACAATTCCATGTTACTAAAAGCACATGGTCTGTATTTTCTGGACCCTCCCCCCGTGTTTATAGTATTTTTGAAAGATTGATACATAAATTGGGTATTTCTATGGGATCTTACGGTGTGGCTGCTCTCTGTGGAAGGGGAAAGCATAATTAAGTTAATGCACTTCTTTTCCTAGCTCCAAAGTCACTGTGATGTATATTTTTTTAATGGAATTTAGAAAACTTGTTTTCTCAATTGTAAAATTAGTTTAAAAATGCTGCTTCTCTTATCATTAGTCTAGTAAATGTTTTTCTGCAAATGCATTTTACAAAATTTAAACTTCAAACTGTATTAACTTTTATAGTTAAACATTGTGTTAAATAAAGTATACTATAATAAACAACTTGGGATTGTATTTTTTTAATTGTTAGTCTTATTAAAAATATTAAATAACCAACAAAACATTTTGTTTTTTTGTTTTTCAAGACAGGGTGTCTCTGTGCAGCCTTGGCTGTCCTGTAGGCCAGGCTGGTCTCGAATTCACAGAGGTGCGAGTGCCTCTGCCTCCTGAGTGCTGGGATTAAAGGTGTGTGCCATCACGCCTGGCTAAAATATTTTTAGAAATGCAAAATCATTTTTATTTTGAGAAGAACAGGTGGTTGACAAAATGGATATCTAAGAATTTGTTGGGCATGGTGGCTTACACCTTTAAGTCCAGCACTTGGGAGGCAAAAGCAGGTGGGTCTCTGAGTTCCAGGCCAGCCAGCACTACATAGTGAGACCTAAGAATTACGTGGCTGATGAGATGGTGAGGCGAGTAAAGGTGATTGCTGCCAAGCTGGTCATGTGAGGTGAATCCCTGGGTCCCACGTGATACAAAGAGAATGGACTTCAGCAAGTTGTCCATCAAGCATATGTACTTTCACAAAACAAGAGTCTAACCAGCAGTGATGATTTCCAAGTTTAGGAGTAAATTCTAGTTCAGATATTTAAGGATAATGCTTAAAGTTGGTAACTTTACCCCAGCAAAATTTAAGACCAGATTGGATCTTTGTATTACTGTCAAAATTCTAGCCAGGCTTGGTGCTACATGCCTGTTATCCCAGCAGAGGCAGGCAGAAGGCTACACAGAGAAACCCTGTCTCAAAAAACAAAACATAAATTTCTACCAGTTAATCCAAATTTCCCAGTATTAGAAACAATGCAAATTTTCCTGTCTAGTTTTTTTTTTTTTTTTTTTTTAAAGGATGGTGGCTTTTGGGTTTTGTTTTGTTCTAGGCTAGCTTTAAAGTCAATATGTAGCTAGCAAAGATGGCTGTCACACTCAGCTTACATGATGCTGGGGGTTGAGCCCAGGTCTGTCTTCATCCGTGGTAGGTGAATGCTCCAACAGCTATGGCCCACCCGCCTCTCAGGTTTGATACTAGTTGTAAAGCCATTTTTAGTTAAGACCAGGCTTGCCTTGAACCTACAAGAGATCCACCTGCCTCTGCCTTCCAAGTGCTGGGATGGGGGTGTGCACAGCCCTAAAGCTCTGTTTTTAAGATTTGTAAGACATGTTGAGTTTTGTTTTTTGTTTTTTGTTTTTTTTTTTGTAATAATTTGATGTTTAGGGGGAATACCCACAGTTAAGAGTTAATTGTTGAAAATACGTGTATTTTTTTAATGTACAGGTAAAACCATTCTGTGGTTTATATTATGTATTATGTTGTCTTTGTTTCATACTTTTGTACCATAAGTATCCCTCTGTGTGTGCTCCTGCTCTCGAGCACGCACGCACACACGTGTGCTCAGCACCTGAGGTCAGAGACTAGGAAGGAGTTGGTTCCTTTCTTCCACCCTGTAGATCCCGGGGTCGGTCTCAGGTTGTCAGTAGTGGCAAGCACCTTCACCTGCTGAGGCACCAGCCTGTATTGGAGCCTTTTCAGTATTAGGTCTACGGGTCTGGGCTGCCACTGCTGGTCTTTTCTTCCATTCTTTATTACCATTCATTACTGAGATTTGTTTTGTGCAACTGCTGGTCATAGAACAATGTCTCGAGCCTTGCGATCAGATTGCACACACCCACCTCTTGGCTGTGTGCGTGCCTTGAGTTTTTTCCAGGTAAACATGGCCTTATAGAGAATGGCATCAAAAATAATGCTTCATTCAACATAAACCACCAATCTGTGGCATCTTGCAGATGTCAGATACTGTGTTTCCTTTAAGCTTTAAAGATAGCATTTGTCCCGTTGAGGTCATCGTGGTCTCAGGACTGCCTTGTACACAACTTAGGAATCTGCTATTGTGTCCTTGTAAATGGCTGGTGCTTTCTTGTCATTGTCCTCCTGTTTCCCACCTGACTCTACCCCCACCAAACAGGGTTTCTCTGTGTAATATCCCTGGCTGCCCTGGAATTCTGTCTATAGACGAGGCTGGCCTCAAACTCAAAATCCACCTGCCTCTGCCTCCGGAGTGCTGGGATTAAAGGTGTGCGCCATCACACCCAACTGAGGTTGGATAAAGTAACCTCACAGTGATTCAGGGTGAATCTAGCCATGGAATCAAATACCTTTTGTTTGTTGTTTTTCGAGACAGGGTTTCTGTGTATAGTTCTGACTGTCCTGGAACTCTGTAGTATAGGTGACTATCCCCACCCTACATACACAGAACGACAGTCTTGAGTATGGGAGTCACTGAATTATGCAGTCTGGGTGCTAGGAATCCTGCTCTACGCAAATTTTCATAATTGTACTTTACTGGTGAAAGAGACTTGTATCCCCCCAACCCCCAAGAGGATTCTAACATCAAGCTCTGCAGTTAACATGGGTGGCTGCTGTTCCAGAGGATCTGAGCATGGCTCCCAGCACCCACATGGCAGCTCAGCCACCTGTAACTCCAGTCCCAACAGTTACAACAACCCTCTTCTGGCCTTCCAGGGCATCAGGCACACAGGTGGAACACAGACATACATGCAGACAAAACTGCCATATGATATGTATAAATTTTTTTTTGCTATAAATTTTATGTCCAAACGATGTATGACTTATATGTGTATTTGATAATCAGTCTCCAGTACACTGGTAAAAATAAACATTCACAACGCTATTACAGAGATTTTTAATAGCAATGGACAAAAACCTACCAGAATATGCCTTTGCCAGTTGTTGAATGAACAAACACATTCATGTAGCTAAATCTGCCAGGGAGAAAAGAAAAAGTAATACACCTTTGATTTTAAAAATAAGCACTTTGAGTGCGGTGGCGCACAGATGTAATCCCAGCACTCTGGGAGGCAGAGGCAGGCAGATCTCTGTAAGTTTGAGCCCAGCCTGGTCTACAAAGCAAGTCCAGACAGGAGAACCAAGACTACACACAGAAAAACCCTGTCTTGGAAAGAAAAAAAATAACACACAAAATAAAAATAAACGGTAGGTGCTGGAGATACAGCTCAATCTATAAAGTACTTTGTTGTGCAAGCATGAGGATGTGCACTGGGTCCCCAGTACTCATTTAAAAAGCTGGATATGATGGCATGCACTTTTTATGCAAGCACCGGGAGGAGGGGGAATGGAGAAGGGTGAGACCTTTGACTGCCCCCTCCCAAAAAAAAAAAAAAAAGATGGGTGGCTCTTGAAAAAGATCTAAGGTTTATCTTTGGTACACACACACACACCAACCAATAAAAATATGAAAGGGTCATCAGTGTGGTGATGCCCTAATATAATCCAAGTAGTTGGGAAGCTGATGAGATTGGGTAGAGGGGTTGTGAGTTTGAGATCAGCCTGATCTTGTCTAGGAAAAAAAAAAAAATCACATGCACTCGGGGCAGTAACAACCACCAAGGTGGCAAGGCCCTGGGCTAAATCCCAGAACAAACTAATAGAGACACAACCCCACAGTCACTTGAAAGAGCTCGAGAACCGCCTGGGCTACATGAACGAGTCTCAAAAGGAAAAAGGAAGAAGAAATGACCCATGGGGCTGGAGAGACGGCTCAGTGACTTAGAGTGCTGTTGCAGAGGACCCAGTTTGGTTCTCAGCTCCCACATGGTAGTTTACAATTATCTGTAATCCAGTTCCGGGGAGTCCAACACCCCTTTCTGGCCTCTGAACACAAGTCATGCACATGGTGCATATACATACATGTAGGCAAAACATACATGAAAATAAATACGTTTAAGTACATACTGTACGATTCTATTTATATGAGGTGTTCTTCCAGAGTTTTAGGTACAGACAATGGTTCACCAAAGCTGAGGGAAGGAGAGAATGAGGGATACTTTGAGTATAACTTCAGTTGTGCAGAATAACAAACATCCAGAAACTGCATAGTAATAAAAATATACTTAGCACTATTAAGCCATACTTAGACATGTGCTAGCTCATGTTCAGTTTTTTATCACAACTTTTAAAAAGGAAGGTTTGGTTCATAAAAACTCAATGATCTTTTGTATCAAGTCAATAATGCTACATACACAATTATTTTAAGTAATTTTCAGTCTTGGAGGTATACTTTACACAAGAAACAGAGAAGTCGAAACTGTCTAAGCATATTCGTAACAAGAAAGCTTTGAACAACTGAGAACTGAGTGACAAGTTGAACAAGCACATGAATGTCTGTTAAGAACCAGCCCTGATTTAGCCATAAGAACGAAGTACTGACAACATGGTACACAACACAGAAACGTGCTCTGTGACGTAAGGCAGACTCTGAGGTCCACAGCATGGCTGCGTTCTTATAGACAAAGCAGAGGCTGTGTGGAGGGGAGCTGAGGTACTACTCCATTGGTACAAGGTCAAGGTTGTACAATCCTGGAATGCGCTTTGTCCCACTGATAACATTTTAACTGAAACTGACATTGTGTGGCTGAGCATACAGCTCAGTCAGTGAAGTAAGAACCTGACTTTGAGCCCATATTAGAGGAAAACTCCTGTGTAATAACACAAACTTGTAATCCCAGTGCTGAGGAGATGGAGAGAGACAGATCCCTGGGGCTCACTGGTCAGCCTGCTTGTTGAGTTCCAGGCTACTGAGAGGTCCAGTTTTCTAAAAAAGGTGGGTGCGGTGTAAGAAATAACACCCCAGGCTGTTCTCTGGAATCTACACACATGCACAGACTCCTGAGCATTTATGTGTACTTAGTGTAAATACTGCAAAGAATTGAATCAGGCAACACATTCTTACAAAGATAAGTATTGGCTTTATTACCAGAAATTCCATTATATTTGTAGCTCATACTTGCTACAATAAAATTTATCAATCATAAAAATGTTTTGTTTTTGTTTTTTGTTTTACCATGTAAAACCTAGCCTTCTCTTCGACTTCTGAAAATCACACTTTGATCCTTGAGAGTTATAGAAAGGGAGCTGGATGCCGGTGGCATCAGTTGCCTGATAGCTGGGTCTTATCCCACCTCTGCCTACAAAGGGCGGGCCGTGCCCACCGCCCACTCCTTCCTGCACAGCTCTGACCAGAGGGTAAGTGTATTTCTTTGTTGATTCAGATTCGCATGCAATCACTTCTCTAGCATACTTCTGAAATTCTTCCTCCTCCTCGGCTGCAAGGGCTTCAGTGAGTCTCCAGTACTCCAAGTCTTCTTCTTTCAATTGTCTCGCTTTGAATTTATTTACAGCCTATTAGGAAGGAAAGTGAATTTTCATATTGGTCAAAAACAGATTCTCCAAATATCTATGTAATTTTAAAATGCAGTAATATATGCTATAACAAATATGCTATAACCCATTGATTCGTCTATGCTCCTAACAGTATACTCAGTGTGGATTAAACCTTTAAACTCATAGCTTTCTATGATACACAGCCAAGCAGCATAACTAAATCATAAGCATAAATAAAATTTAGGTCAAATCCAGGCAGCCGTATTTATAATCCTTCATTTACATATGTGATCTTCAGTAGGTTAAAAGGCATACAAGAAGTTACTGTTCCTGTCAACATAAGACCAAGCAAGCAGGGAATACCTAAGTTATATGCAGCCAATTACATTGTTTCCCAGGAACGTGGAGGTGAACAATGAATGACATTAATCTATGGACATTTATTCAGAACTGAAGAAATAAGTACTACAGGCAATCTCCCAGATACTTTACTTTAGAAAGTCTTTGTCTTATAATGTCACATTCATTATATTGGAAGGGATGTTTTTAATGGCTTGTCTATAAACTTTTGATTGACATATTCCATTTTATATTTGTAACATTTTAAGAAATGTTGAACCGTGTGTGTCTTGCTGCTTCTGGGATAGCTCACTCAGGATGATCTTTTCCAGTTCCCACCATTTACCTGCAAATTTCATGATTTCCTTGTTATTTATTGCTGGGTAATATTCCACTGTGTAGGTGTACCACAATTTCTATATCCATTCCTCAGTTGTGGAGCATCTGGGTTGTTTCCAGCTTCTGGCTATTACAAATAAAGCTGCTACAAACATGATTGAGCAGATGTCCTTGTTGTGAACTTGAGCATCTTTTGGATATATGCCTAGGAGTGGTATAGCTGGATCTTGAGGAAGCGCTATCCCTAATTGTCTGAGAAAGCGCCAGATTGATTTCCAGAGTGGTTGTACAAGTTTACATTCCCACCAGCAGCAGAGGAGGGTTCCCCTTTCTCCACAACCTCTCCAGCATGTGTTGTCACTTGAGTTTTTAATCTTACTAACTCATAAGTGGATATTAAACACATAATATAGGATAAACCTACTAAAATCTGTACACCTAAAGAAACTGATCAAGGAGGAGAACTCTGGCTAAAATGCTCAATCCCCATCCAGAAAGGCAAAGAGGATGGACATCAGAAGGAGAAAAAAGGGAACAGGACAGGAGCCTGCCACAGAGGGCCTCTGAAAGGCTCTGCCTTGCAGGGTATCAAAGCAGATGCTGAGACTTATGGCCAACCTTTAGGCAGAGTGCAAGGAATCTTATGAAAGAAGTGGGAAATGGTTGGACCTGATGTTTGAGGCCAGCTGAGACAACACTCAATGAGTGTTTTCAGAATTCTCTGGAGTTCTTGTTCTTGGTAACACTATTCTCCTAGCTCCCACTGGCCTTAGCCCTTACCCCCAACTCCAATACAGTAGTATGTCTGTCATTACCTTGAGTCTTTTTTAATCCCTTTGCTTTTTCATGCAAAGTTCATTTCTTGATCATGGATCTAAACAATGGAGATTTGCTTATCCGATTCATTTTTTTGGATTTTTTTAAATTTTATATTAATTGCAATTTATTCACTTTGCATCCTCCTGTAGCTCCCTCCCTTCTTGCCTCCCAGCCCCTCCCCCCAGTCCACTGATAGGGGAGGTCTTCCACCCCTTCCTTCTGATCCTAGTCTATCAGGTCTCATCAGGAGTAACTGCATTGTCTTCCTCTGTGTCCCGGTAAGGCTGTTCCCCCTTTTCTAAGACTGAGACTCCAACCAAGTACCATTCATGGAGATAACCTAGAACCCCTGCACAGATGTAGCCCATGGCAGTTCAGTGTCCAAGTGGGTTCCATAGTAATGGGAACAGGGACTGTCTCTGACATGAACTGATTGGCCTGCTCTTTGATCACCTCGCCCTGAGTTATAAATTGGAGGGGCTGGAGAGGCTCAGCAGTGAAGAGCTGATCTTCCAGAGGACCAGGGTTCAATTTCCAGTACCGCTACGGCAGCCCACAACTGTCTGTAACTACAGTTGCAGGGGATTCCACTCCTTCGTCTGGCCTCCACAGGCACCAGTGCGCACATGTGTGCGCACACCCGTGTCTGTGTGCACAGGCCCTCCCGCATTAACAAGGTATTAACAACCAAATTCAGCACAGATAGGATTTCTAAGAATGCACCATGACCAAGTAGGGTTAATCACAGGAGTACACTATTTCAATGTTTAAATGTGTCCAAGGGCTGGGTGGTTCAGTGGGTAACAGACTTGCCCTGCAAGCTTAAGGACCAGAGTTTGAATCCCAGAACCCACAAGAAAGGCAGGGCAGGCATGGAGGCTGCCTGTAATCTCTGCACTCAGGAAACAGACATGGGGTCCCTGGGGCAAACTGGCTAGCTAGGCTAGCTGGAACCTGTGACCAGCAGGTTCAGACAGAGATCCTGCCTCAAAAAAAAGGGGGAGAGCAATTGAGAAAGACTCCCAACATCAACTTTGAGCCCCCCCCCCCCCACATTTTTTTTCTCCAAATAATCTGGGCCTATCAACCTGGCTATTTAGGTAATTAAAAGAGAAAAACTGTTTGAATCAGACTGGGCAACAAGAGTGAGGCCCTCATCAGAAAAAAAAAAAAAAAAAAGATGGTGATGATGAAATTCACTTGTCATTATTAGTAGAAAAGCGTAACAAGAGACGATTACCTCAATATGTGCAGAAAAACATTTAACAGAATTCAACAATCATGTTAAAATTTCAACAAATTAGGAATACAGAGAGATAGCTAATATGATGTAGCTACAAAAAATATATATGAAGCATCATGCCTGTCTTAGTCACTTTTCTATTGCTGCAAAGTGACACCATGGCCAAGGCAACTTACAGAATAAAGAATTACTGGGGACTTCTACCAGCACAGATGACAGCATGGCAGCGCAGGCAGAAATGCTGCTAGAGCAGTAGCTGAGCGCTTGCGTATGATCCCTCAAGCAGGAGGCAGAAGAAAGAGCTGAGTGGGAGTGGTGTGGGCTTTTGAAAGCACAGAGATGCCTCAGCAGTTAAGACACAGCGTTCTGCAGAAAACCTGAGTTCAAGTCCCAGCACCCACGTCCGACAGCTCCCAATTGCCTGCAACTCCAGCACCTGGGCATGTACACATGCTCACACAAACAAGCAATAGTCATAGGTATTTTGAACAGCCCACCTCCAGTACTACACTCCCTCCAACAAGGCCACACCCCCTAATCTTCCCAGAACACTAACTACCATTATCTGGGGACCAAGTATTCAAACAGATGGAGCCTCAGGGAGCCATTCTTAGTCAAACCACCACAACGCATTCCTGATAAAAGAAACTACTTTCTACCTAAGATGAGGAGCAGGAGAACAATCTCACTTCTTGTACTTTTAATAAATACTGTGCAGTCTTTAACCAATAGAATAAAACAAGAGAAAGAATTACCATAGAGATGGAAAAAGGAATTAAAATTGTCTTCATTCACGGATAACATGATCACTTAGGTAAAAAGTTAAAGTTACTGAAAAGCTAATAGGCTTCAGAATACAAATTCATACACAGAAACAACTGTGCCTCTCTATGTTGCAAACAACTGTATGAATAGGGGATTTCATTGACAGGGACATTTAGTAAGCATAGCCAGGCAGGGCGACTCACAACTGAACAAACCCCACTCAGGAGGTGGAAGCAGGACATTCACAAGTGTGAGGCCAACCTTAGTTACACAGTGAGAGCCTGCCTCAAGCAAATAAAATTCATAAAAACCTCAATATACCTCTACATTCCAAGCTATACACACAAAGATGAAAAAAGGTGAAGAACGAAATATGTAATACTTATCAATTTGAAGACTTGATATTATAGTAGTCACCTAAATATTTTCTCAATTCTCCCCAAATTATATTTACAGCTTAAAAAAATCCAACAGATAATTGCAGTAAATAAAAATAAATAAATTAAAAAAATCTTTCAAATTGAAAAAAATCCCACACATGGGCTGGTATGCACACACTCACGTGTGCAGACATGTTTGTGTGTGCAAGTACACATGCCCGTGTGTGTAGACAGGAACCACAGGACAACCTAGGGTGGCATGCTTTAAGAGCCAGCTGCCTTGTTGTATGCCCTGGGGTATCTCATGGCCTGGAACTCAACAAGGAGGGCTCCCCAGTGAGCCTACACAAGCTCGTGTGAGCGCCTGCATTCACTCTCCAGCACTGCCAAGAAGAAAAGGCTGTGTTTGATCTCCAGCACCATACATAGAAAACTGCCAACAGAGTAAATTTTATGTTAAGTACCTTTTAGCACAATTTTCAAAAGCTTAAACCCTTCTGCAGTAGGTGCTGGGGCGATGGCTCAGCAGTGAAGTGCTCAAGCACACGGACCTGGATTCTGATCGCCAGAATGCATGAAGAGCTGAGTGAGGGGCTCCGCACCTGCAACCACGCTGCAGGGAAGGACGGGCAGGAGAACCCTGCAGCTCAAGGGACAGCCAAGCCAGCCAAGCCAGCGAGCTCTGGGTCAGGGTGAGACCTTGTCTCCAAAAGTAAAGTCGAGGGCTGGAGAGCTGGCCCAGGGCATGAAGAAGAACGCCTGCTGAATGGTTCCTAGCACCATGCCAGGCAGCTCCCTCACCAAGCAGCTCACAAACAGCTGCTACTCCAAAGCTAGCGTTTCCAACACCTTGTTCTGGCCTCTGTAGGCACCCTCATCCATGTGGTACATGTACGCACATGCACACAAAATAGTAAGGTAGAGAACAATCAAGGAAGGTGCCCAAGGTGGTTCTCTGGTTGCTACATGCTTGTGCACACAGTCATGCACACGTGCACACACCACGCAGCTCAGCACTGAGAGAAACCCAGCTAAGGAGATAGTTCAGGCACTAAGGTGCTTTCTGTACAAACACGAAAACCGAGCTGGATCCCTAGAGCTCCTGTGAAAAGCTGGCCAAGATGGTGTGCTCTTCTAATCCTCGCTGCAGGACGATAAAGTCAGGTAGCTCCTTGGGACTTGCTAGCCAGCCAGCCTAGCCTAACTGCTGAAGCTGAGAGCCCCTGAGACCCTGGCGCAAACTGTGAAGGGCTCTGGAGGAACAAAACTGAAGGCTAGCCTCTGGTCTTCACATACACAGGCACACAGTCAGTGCTCTTAACTGCTGAGCCATCTCTCCAGCCATTATCTCTCCCAGGCTATTTAATGGATGCAAAGCAACAATTCCTTCTTACCCAATTGCTTTTTATGTTTATTTAAATGTTTTAAAAGAAGCCAAGAAGCCACATACATTATCTGATTACATTGCATATACACAAAGAAAACAAGTCAAAATAATTGTCAACAGGTTTGAATAGGCACTTCCCAAAAGAAGTCATAGGCAAAGCACTTCACTGAGGACAGGGTAAGCCACTCCTTCAGAACAGTTAACATTCCAAGGTGACAGTGCCGAGGCTTGGGGAGGGAGCACCATGACGTGTGCTCAGAATCCTGCTGGCAGGAGTGGGAAAGAGTACTACTTATTTAGAAAAAGGTTCTGCAGAGAGGAGACTGGACACCAGATTCTCTACCCATCATCAACTTACATCTCTACTATTCCTCTTCACCTCACACTCCAAGCCCACAAGATCCCAATCAGCATGGTCTCTGGGATGTTGTTGTAAAGTCGGGGACAAAACAGGATTAGAACTGTGGGGAGTGGATGAGTCCTGAGTGACCGTGTGCATGAGCACAGACATGTCAAGGACACCAATGCCTCATGGAGTGGCAAAACCACCCCCTGGTCCAATGTCGGCAGCGTGTGCTGAAAATGCCCACCACAGCTTCTTCCTCCTGGATGCTTATAGCCGGAAGCTGCTTCCCTATAGAGACCTCTTACCAAGATGAAGTAATCCTGACTCCTTATTCAGCTGTAATAATACCCTTGCCTCCTGGTTCAGCTGTATATAACAAACCTGCCTCCCCATTTCAGATGTTTGGAATAAATCTGCTGAGTTTCCAGGCTGTTTCTGGTGTGTCTTCATCAGAGTTCATGGCCCACCAAATACCTTCTATTCTGGATATATGCCTGTTGTTTCTTCATTCCTGACATCCTAATTAGGTCAGTCCCTAAAAGCCATCATAGCAGAGACTCACACAGCAGTGATGCTAAAACTACGTTCACATTTTACTATGTTTTTACTGTGACACTATAATGATCATTTGCTCCTATCCAAAAAAGGAACCCGCTTAAGAGAAAGAAAACCAAAATTAAGTCTCTATTACACATTCACTTTTAAAATTCCTGAAGCCGTGGGAATAATTACCATTTTCTGAATGTGAGCATCTTGAATTTCTTGTTGCTTTATGCTAGCTTTGAGCTTTTTCTCCTTTTCAAGCTCCTGGAAGAGCTTATCTGCCTCCAAGAGAGCCAGCAATTGTTCTTTAGACTCGATTTTTCTCTGTCTTTCTTCTTCCTCTTTATTTTTCATCTAGATGTTTAATGGCAAAGAAAAAGAAAAACACCTAAAATTATTTTTAGCAACCAGATCTCATTATAAAGGGAGTCAGGGTGCTTCAAGCAAAGAGCCAGGGGCATTGTGGTATCTAAGACACATTTAATGAAAACATAAGGAGAATAATATAGACCAATGTCTTTAGTTAAAAAAAAAAATACACCTCACACAGTTGTGTATGGCAATGCATGCCTGTAACCCCAGCAGCGAAGATAAGGAAACCAAGGCAGGATTATGAGGTCAAGAGAAGCCTGGGCTACACTGTGAAACTCTGTGAAAGGAGATTAAGAAGAGCAGGGGTAGGAAGAAGAAAGCATAGGAACAGAACAGCAAGGTCTCAAGGTGCGGAACTACGGGAACATTAACAACTGCTAAAATGTTTATAAGACATGGATTTGAATGTTCAGAGAGACATGTAGGGGACAAGGTAGAAGACCCATTTTCTAAGACTAACATACAGAAACAGGGCTGGAGAGATGGCTCAGGGGCTAAGAACACTGGCTGTTCTTCCAGAGGTCCTGAGTTCAATGCCCAGCAACCACATGGTGGCTCACAACCATCTATAGTGAGATCTGGCGCCCTCTTCTGGTGTGCAGGCACACATGCAGGCAGAATGCTGTGTACTAATAAACCTTTTTTTTTTTTTTTTAAAGGCACACAGAAATGTAATCAGACAATGTATGCGGCTTCTTGGCTTCTTTTAAAACATTTAAATAAACATAAAAAGCAATTGGGTCATTTAAGAAGGAATTGTTGCTTTGCATCCATTAAATAGCCTGGGAGAGATAATGGCTGGAGAGATGGCTCAGCAGTTAAGAGCACTGACTACTCTTCCAGAGGACCCAAGTTTGGTACCCAGCACCCACACAGCGACTCATACCCATCTGTAACTCTAGCTCCAGGTGATCCAATACCCTCTTCTGTTTTTTGTGGGCATCAGGTACACACATGGTACACAGATGTACATGCAGGCAAAACATACAAGTGAACTAATACAATAAATAAAATACCTTTAAAAATATCTTATGTGTAACTGATGGTCATATTATCTTTGATGTAAAAGTAAGCATTAGTTTTTGGGGATCAGAGGACACTGGGCAACCAGGGCTCCAGCTTCGGCAGACCAGAGAGCACCCCATAACCGTGGCCTCAGAGGTCAGCACAGGGGCCAAGCTTCAGCTCGAGTATGCCCAGGGTGTCCTGAGAGACTGGGACCTTGGTTCTATGGTCTCTGAGATCATTATGGTTGCAGAATTCTGATTTCTGAGGCCCCAGTAGTCACTGTAGGACCAGAGTCTGTGTGGCTGTGGTCCCAGAGATTACTTTGGGCCTGTGGTTATAACCACATCCCAATAGAGTAGACAAACTTCACTGGGTCTGAAGTTTGTATCCTGTCTCCAGCAGGTTCATAGACAAGGGATTACCAAAGGTTTGAGCCCAATGGTTACCTTGGCGCTCAGTGTGCAGCCCTACCATTGGTCTGGTTGTCATGTGGCCAAGGCAGGCTCACCAGTATTCAACATCAGGTTTCACCAGTCCCAACTCATCACTAAAAAATATTCAGACTGGTGGACTGGATTAAAAAAAAAGAAACATTGGGTGGTGGTGGCGCATACCCTCAATCCCAGCATTTGTGGGGCAGAGGCAGGCAGATTTCTGTGAGTTCAAGGACACTCTGGTCTACAGAGTGAGTTCCAGGACCAGCCAGGGCTACACAGAGAAACCCTGTCTCAAAAAACAAAACAACAACAAAATGCTCAGGCCCTGGGGTGGGATGGGTGGTTGTTGGTCATTCAGGGGATTGGTTGCGGTTTGTTAGTAGTTGTGCTAAAGAAGATATTAGATTCAGAGGCCTCTCTCTCTCCCCTCTATCCTTCTATCTACTGATAGAGGGTCAAACAGGGCTGGGGTGGGGAATAAAGAGTGGAAGAAAGAAGAACCTACAAAGTAGCAAAGACCAACTACACTTCACGTTCTCCCTTACATGTAAAACCTAGTCAATAATATATGCGTATGTGTAAATAAATGTATATCATGTAGGAAAGAGAACAAGAAAAGCTAACTATTAGGAGACGAGGGGAGGCAGGTAATGAACATGAACAGGGATATAAAACCAATTGTGTGTCTAGCGCTAACTCTGTTGTAGATTTCCACTTTTGGTGGAGGACAAGTGCATCCAGATGCATTCAACCGTCAACGCGCAAAGCCCACCGTGAAGCTCCATAGCCCCTCTTCTCATGGTCATTCTAACTGTATACAAGTTCTTCAGGGTGTACACATTTGGGTCTAGTTCATTTCAGTGGAGGATAGATTAACGGATTGATCAATAGATCGACTGATTGGTTTGGTTTTTCCAGACAAGGTTTCTCTGTGTAGCCTTGGCTGTCCTGGACTCACTTTATAGACCAGGCTGGCCCCAAACTCAGAGATCCACCTGTCTCTGCATCCCACGTGCTGGGATTAAAGGTGTGCGCCACCACACCTGGCATTCAATGTAGGATTATTTTTTATTTTCAAGGTTTTTTTTTAATAATAAAGTTTATAAACAAAATAAGTGTTTGTCTCAAGAATAGAATACAGTTTGCATACTGTTTTTCAGATCCCTGCTAGTTTGAGAGAGAGGCAAAGGGCAGTGTCCACAGGAGGAAAGTGTCAACTCCAAGGGCTATCACTGACTTATTTACCACAGTGGCTCTATGTTCTGAGATTGCTTTCAGTTCTGCTTGAGTTTTTTCATTTTTTTCTTTTTCTGCTTTCTCCCATTCAGCCTCAGCTTCAGCAACATCTCTTGCAATAATAAAATCTTCATTATCAAGTTTCTGTTGCATTAGTTCAGTTAGGAAGTTATTAATTCTTTCTTTCCGCTCTTCCATTAGCCTATAACAGAACAACCACATGTGCCAAATCATCCTGAACAGCTCTGTAATGGAGTTAAAATACTTTCATTAGGGAACCTGAGGTACAACTGTCTACAAAACTAAAAAGAAATCTGTGGCTCCCTTTATATTATGGATATATCAAGTAAAACTTAATTTGCCATATATTTAAAATGCTTTAATATTTGAGATAAATAAGGATATTAATTTTATAACTACAAAGTAGCATGTATTCTAAAAATTTCCAAGTGAACAATATGTACATTATAATCACATATGTGTGTACACATATACTTGTGTAAGAAAATTGTGTTAAAATTCTCCATAACAGGGCTGGAGAGAGGGCTCAGATGTTAAGAACACTGGCTGTTCTTTCAAAGGTCCTGAGTTCAAGTCCCAGCAACCACATGGTGGCTCACAACCATCTATAATGATATCTGGTGCCCTCTTCTGGTGTGCAGGTGTACATGCAGAAAGAATACAGTACACACAGTAAATAAATATTTTTAAAAATTCGCCATAACACTGGAAAATATTTTTCATGTGTGTGCTGTACACATGTATGTGCCCATGAGCGTATGGGTGGGCACAAGTAGAGACCAGAGGTTGATATTGCAATATCAACCTCTGTAGCTTTCAGTATTTTTATTTTTTGAGACAGGGTTTCACTATGCAGCCTTGGCTGGCCTAGAACTGCTATGTAGACCAAGCTAGCCTCAAATTTACAGAGATCCTCCCATCTCTGTTTTCCAAGTGCTGGGACTAATGGTATGCATCACCATGACAGGACAGCTGTGCTTGCTTTTGAGATAAGATCTCTTCTTTAAATCTCACCATTTTGGTGAGCTTGGCAGCGAGTGGTCCTTCAGGATCTACTTATTCCCACTTTCCTGGCAGTATTATGTGTATAGCAAGATCTGCTTGTGCAACCCAGAACCTATTTGGAATTCTTTGTTGGGCTATTCTGCTTGCTCTAACACTGAAACTTACGCTATAAAAATCCTTTCTATAAATAAAACCTTGGAAGTGACTAATGTAAGTTATCAGAATATTAGATAACTTCTCCCCTCACTACATCCCACCTGGAACCCAGTCACAGATGTGTTGATTTCTGCTGTTTACATACCCCTGTCTCTCCCATGATGGTGTTTCTGAGGTCAGGGACTGCATGAATTCTCTTTCTAGACTAGGGCCAAGAATGTGTGTGGTACGTTATACACAATAAGCACATTTTAGTAAAGCAATGAGGGAAGGAGACTGAACAGAAATGGTTTAATTAGTTATGAAAAGTTCATTAATTTATTGAGTGAGTTTGTGAAGTTTTATTTGAGAAATTATGAAAAAGACACTGTTCGTGGGCAAAAAGTAGAGTCTAGAGTAGAAGGGAGACATTTATGCAAATAGTGGTACAGGCCGTGAGAATGCTAGGCAGCCATGTAGGAGACTTTGTAGGAAAGAGGATGTTTTAGTTGATATATTAGTTAATAATTTAGTTAACACTGAACAATTAACTATCTGCATACATTATTCCAGGTTGAAGGAGTCTGGTAAATGAAATTCTGCCTCCTGGCCTTGGCAGATTCGGGTCTTATCTAAATTCCATTTCTCAGAGACTTTCCTTGGCGGTCTCTGCAGGCAGGGTACTCTGAGCCTGAGAAGTAGGTAGCAAGCTCCCTGCAATCCTGGGAACCAGACAGCAGACTTTGTGACCTTGAATGAATTCCTGCATGCCTTGCCAGGTGGCACAGATGTGTTGCTACTGTGAGAAAAATTTGCTTGTACCCTTTGCTTTATAAGTGCTGTTTGCACGTTCAATAAACTGAGACTTGATCAGGAATCTGTCTTGTCTCCATTCTTCACGTCTCTGTCCCCCAGTTTCCACTCCCTCTTTCAAGTGGACCCTGTTCGACTAGCACCATCCCACCAGCTGGTCTCTTTTACTGAACAGAGAGAGGAAAGAGCAAATGAACTGAGCCTATGCCTCAGCATTCGTCTCTCTCTGCTCTCCGGCTCAAGTTGATCTGAACCAACAGTCTCATGCTCCTGCCTCCACAGCCACAAGCAGCTCTGGCCACCTTGCCCTTCCACCATACAGGCTATCCATGTCCTTAAACTGTGAGCCAAAATGAACTCTTTCTTCATTAAGTTGTGTCAGCTGCAGCAATGAGAAAAGGAAGTGATAAACTACTGACTTAGAGCACCTCCTCCAACTCGGTGCTCGCTCTCTCTCCCACAGGATAGCAGTGTTTTCAACCATCTACCACAGAGAGCTCTGGAACATTCCATGGGTGTGCCTCCAACTCTCATGCCCCGAACTGAAATTATCACGACATTAAATGCCCTAGTCATCTTGAGACTTCAATTCCCACTAGGCAAGACAGCTTGCCCAGTGTAGCTTTTGAGTCACTGGAAAAACAATTTCGGATAGCACTTTAGCGATCACGTTAGAATCCTGCCTGTGGAGCTAGACAGATAGCTCAGCAGTTAAGAACACTCACGGTTCTTGCAGTGGCCCAGGTTAGATTCCAGCACCCACATGATGGATTGAAACAACCCGCAACCCCATTTCCAAGGACTGCAACAGGCACCTATGGATGTGGTCCACATGTATGTACACAGGCAAAACATTCATATTTATAAGGTAAATAAATCTAAAAGAGCATTTTAAAATCCTACCTTTGTGTTTCAGCTTCTTTGTCTTGCCTCATTTGCGTAAGACGTTTTTTGGCTTTGATAAACTTCATGGTCCTTTCATCTTCCTCCTCTTCCTGCTGTTGTTCTATAGCTCGGATGATGTTTTTATCATGTATACTGTCCTTAAGGAAATAAGTATATATTGTCACAAAAATGCCTTTCAACATATCTACTAAGAACCTGTCAAGTGGTCATGGCTTCTCACCCAGTTATTTTTCCTCTGAAAATTTACCCCAAAGAAATAATCAGAAGCTTGAATCAGTTTTCATGTTCACATACTTTATCTCAAGTTTATTGGCATTAATAACACAAAAATATTGAAAACCATCTATAAGTATTCAATAATGCAGAAATGATTAAGTAAACTGTAATCTCAGTGATATGAGACTTTAGAACATAGCTTTTTTAAAATAACTGAAAAATTACTGGCTTCCCAAACACCTTTCTTTAGGAAGATATTGCTAACGAGCAAGCAGTCCTAAAGCAGAGGGGTCTCTCTACACAAGTGCTAAGAAAAACAACACAGGTAATTGCTTATTATTCAGTCAAATATTGAAAATTAGCATCAGAATTTACTGAATATATGAAAAAACCCAAGTCATCAAAAGAAAAATTTTAAAAGGTCAAAAATGTCATCACTAAACAACTGAAAATCAACGTAGAAAAGTAATCATTTGTACTATTGTGTATAGCAATGCCCTCCTGCAATCTGTGTGGTGTGGGAGAGGACTAAAGCAGGAGAATCACAAGAGGCCAGTTACGGCTGCATAGGGAGACCCTGTCTTAAAACAAAATAAGAGAGGGGAGAGGGTGGGAGGGTGAGTATGGGAGGAGAGAAGGAAGAGGGCTGTGATCGGGATGTAAAATGAATAAATTTATTTAAAAATGAGACTAAACACGTAATGAAAGCACTAGAACCGTTGTATATAGTTTGATCTGCAGAGGCAACTGTTTACACAATCCTGATAATGACCTAAGTGTGATAACTGCTGAAAGAGTTAGAGACGTGCATTACGTGGGAGAAGAACCAAATCCTCCACAACCAGGACAAAGGCAAATAGCAGCTGAAACTAATGGATCAGATTGGCATCATTTAAAACCTAACTATAAAAACTGAATACAGGACCAGCAAGATGTCTCAAGGAGGCAAGGTATCTGAGCCTTATGTGGTCCTGAGCCCTAAGGGCTCGAGTGGAGGACGGAGACTATGGGAAGCAAAGAACAATGAACAATGAAGCGCCTCTCCTTTTCCAAGTCTCTTAGTGCTTAATGTCCTACCTTCGCAGCACGAATGCTGGGCACGGTGGCACATGCCTGTGATCCCAGCACTCAGGGAGGCAGTGGCAGGCCGATCCCTGTGAGCTCAAGGCCAGCCTGCTCTACAGTGAGTCCCGGACAGTAAGGGCTCTGGTACATAAAGATATCCTGTCTCAAAAAACCAAATAATAATAATAATAAAAGAAAAAGCGTGTTGGGACTAGGGAGGTGCCTCGGTGGTTCCAGCACTGGCTGGTCTTGCAGAGGGTCCCACTCATGTGTAACTCCAGTTTCAACACTCTTGCTGGCCTCTGCAGGCACCTCTGTCTGCACAGACATACATGCAGACAAAACACCTGAACACATAAAGTCAAAATAAAACTTTAAAATGTTAAAAATACATGAAAAAAAATCATGAAATCAAATAAATTATGAAATCCATAAGCTATCACAGCAGATATTATACATAAATCACCCATCATTGGTAAAACTTTTGTTTTAAGGAAATTCATTTCCTAATGAATTTCAGGTATGTGACTGTCGAACTGCTTGACTGTGGCATTTTCAACTTACAAAAAATTGTTTCTTGTTTTCATCTATCTCTTTCTGTTTCTTGCTTAGTTTTTTTTTCACTTCTATTTCATACAGCAAATTCTGCCGCTTTATCTCCTCAGCATCTTTTTCTTCATTTTTCTTCCTTTCTTTTTCTTCCTCTTCACGTTCCTTTATTCTAAATAAAAAACATAAGTATAACTGAGAGCAAAGCAAATGTGTGTGTGTGTGTGTGTGTGTGTGTGTGTGTGTGTGTGTGTGTGTGATATCCTAGGAAGACGATACAGGTTATCACCTGGGGTGATAGGACTCTCAAGAAAGGATGCAGGGAAATGAAGACACGAAGTGGCAGTGACAAAAACAGTCTGAACAGCCCAGGCTGTTTACACTTGGCTTGTTTATACTTGTTTATATTTTGTTCCTGACAGCAGACTCCAGGGCTCCCTTCTTTAGGAAGGAGAGCTGGCTGGCTAAGAGGAACGGAGAAGTTGATGGGCCCCAGCACAGAAGCTGATGCTGCAGAAGCCACAGCCAAGGCTTCAAGAAGTGGGGTTTGACGCAGAGAGCAAAGCAGGGAGGTCTCAGTACCCAGTGCCACTCTGGCGGCTCTTCCTCCTGTAGCTCCCCGCTGGTTGGCTACTGATGCCTCCTGAACAGGACGCTCCCACCCCCCCCCCCCCCCCCCCCCCCCCCCCACTCCCCCTCCCAACCCCGGCTCTCAGGGCTCCTGAATGAGTTCTTCGGGGATCGCTGAAGGTTGGCCGCACAGCACAGCCCTGATCTGGAAGGTTTCTCTCCAGCGGCACCCCAGGAGTGCCTTTCAACTCACTTCCCAAACCCCAGGAGCTCCCAGCAGCAGCAGTTCGCAGCAGACCCTGGATCACGGGGTCCCTCAACCAGCAGGCACCCCAGAGAACGCGGCAAAGCTGCTCATCCCCCCCCCCCCACACACACACCCGGGGCCCTGCTTGCGCCTTCTCTAATTGATTTTCCTTCTCTACAGGCGGCTCAGGGAAGGCCAACAATCTAATAGACAGACAGCTAAAGATGAGCCCCTCCTTCACATGCTCGCAACCACGCAAACATTTCTCCTGGAGTCTTTTTGCATCAGGAAGAGAAAAACTGCCGGACCACAGAGGACTACATCGGGAAGCAGGCCAAGAAATTTGGCACAAACACAAAGTCAAGAAACTCGGAAGTCAGAGTACTCTCTTTTGGAGGAACTGAAGAAACTAAGGGTTGTGCTGGCCCCTGCCACACCGGATTTAGGGTGGTCCCAAAAAGTCAGTTTCCAAAACTTTGCTGACTGATGTTGCTGTATCTTATGTTTACTGTCACATTCGAGAAGCAGATTCACAAGTCAACAACAAAGTTCTCAAGAATATTAGAAGAAGAGAAATATCCAATTTTGAAAAAAAAAAGTTATTTTATTTTATTTATTTTTTTAAGTTTAGGACAAAGTAACAAAATACAAAATATTGCAGCTTTGGGGCTGGAGAGATGGGCTCAGTGCGTAAAAGCACTTCCTGAGTGGTGACACACACCTGTAATCCCAGCACTCAGAAGGCTGCGGCAGGTGGTTCTCTGTGAGGTCAAGACCAGCCTGATCTACAAAGTGAGTCCAGGACAGCCAAGGCTACACAGAGAAACCCTGTCTCTGAAAAAAAAAAAAAAAAAAAAAGAAAAAAACAACAAAAGCACTTCCTGTTTCAGGCTCACAACCCACTGTAACTTCAGGTGACGATAGCTCCTGGTGCCCTCTTCTGGCCTTTATAGGAATATACCATGTGATTTATTCACACAGAGACCAACACACATAATTATTAAATAAAGGGTTGGTTTTTGTTTTTGTTTTTTAAGTCTGATCAAATTGACAGTCAAGATTACCATCAGCAATACCAAAAAACTCTTGTGATGTAATTGGCTCTAGCTGACTAGTAAAAGCTGCTCAGTGTATTGGGTTAAGTTGCACCAAGACTTAGTGGCATCGTGGTACATGCCTTTAATCCCAGCACTCAGGGTGGCATCGACAGGAGGATCTCAGTGAGTTTGAGGCCAGCCTGGTCTACAGAGCAAGTCCAGGACAGCCAAGAAACCCTGTCTCCAAAAACAAGAGAGAGACAGAGCAGGAAGAAAAGATCCAAGACTCAGCAGGAGGGAAATGGTAATGGATGACTGATGTCTACTCTAAACCTGAGAGCTGAAAATAAGATACGAATGTTTCTATTTATTTGTTGAACCAGGGGACCTGACATTTCCATCAACATTCTAAATTTTCATTAAGTCAAATTGCCCAAGTAAGGTAAAAATCTTTACTGACAGGTAATTAAAAATCCAATCTTTACAAACAATGTTAGCCAGTGCCAACATCTCTCCTTTCCACTGGCACAGATGTTCCCTCACATTCATGCTCGGAATGCAGAATTGCATTTTGCACAAGGAAGGACTCATGCAATGGATGCAGACATATCTGACTTCCAGATTGGCCAGCGCACTCTAGAGCAGCCCTGCCTTGCTGTACACACTACCATGACAGCCCAATGGCGTTAAAGAAGGTTCACATTCTCACATCCTGAGCTGTGCTTATTGAGATCTAGCTTCTTCTGAGCTCACCCAGACTTTGAACAGTCCTATAAAGGCAGGGGTATGGCGACACATGCCTTAAACTTAGCACACAGAGACAGAGGAGATGGCAGAGGTAAAGAGAGAGAGAGAGGGGCAGGAGGATCTCTGTGAGTTCAAGGTCAGCCTGGTCTATGAAGTTAGTTCCAGGTCAGCTAGGGCTACATAGTGATACCCATAAACAAAATAAATTTATTTATCTATATAAATAAATAACTTTTAATTAAAACAGGAAATTTTGGTCCTTATAGGGCAATCCAGCAGGCATCAAGGCCTGGCTAATTCCGTAGCCATCTTACATTCACTATGTGCAAAGGCAAATCTATCACCTTCCTCTTCTAAATGGTCTCCTGCTCTCATCTTTATGAACAGTTTCCAGTTGCCTAGGCTTGAGGCCTGAGGACTTCCCTTAGTCCCTCTGTAATCCTTAGCCCCTTATTCAATTATCTAAAACCTATTTATTGAAGTTCTATTACATTGATGAAACAGCCATCAAGAAACTACATTAGAGTTAGGGACTATAACTAAAAATTGTGATGTAACATATAAAAAGAAAGCAAGAGACAGCCAGGTGGTGGCAGCACACACCTTTAATCTCTCAACACTTGGGAGGCAGAGGCAGATGGATCTCTGTGAGTTCCAGACCAGCCTGGCCTACAAAGTGAGTTCTAGGACAACACAAAGAGAAACTGTCTCAAAAAGCATAAACAAAACAAAGAAAGAGAAAGAGACTAAGAAAAAGAGTTAGAACGGAGTCACACAGACCTCTTTAGACTGAGCTGTATGCTAAGAGGCAAGGTCTGTCTGCGCTGGTAGGAAAGGGGGATACATTCTGAAGAGTAAAAACAGTATGTGAGAAGTACTGTGGCCAGAAAGTTCTTAGCAGGGACTCAAGGCCCTGGCAGGTGAGAGCATTAGAGCAATCAGAAAATAGACAAGGAGTAGGACAGACGCTTGAGACAGGATGAGGGCAGATTCCATGGGGCCAAGTACTCCTTTTTAAATGACTAGAAAGCTACAGAAGCATCCAAATTATCAGAATAATTTAACCACTTTTCATTTTACTGGAATATCACAGATGATGGGGAATAGGATTAAGAGTGAGTATGGGGGTCACTTAGGTCCATGTAATTGATGGATGAGAGCATCAGTGGCTAAGGGGACAGACAGCTCTAAATTCAAGACTTGTTTTGGAAGAAAACAAATCAACATGAGATGCTTTGAGGTGTGTTATGGAGGATAAAGGAGATGAGGGACCATGGCAGACAATGTGACTATGGTTTCAAGTGGGTGGATATAGGTGCTGCTGGGCAGTCCCTGCAGGGGTAGAGATCACCTCTTTGAGGTGCCTATGAGACTCTAATGGGCATCTCTTGGAAGCAGCTGGATATGGAAAACTAGGGTTCACAGGAGTGGTTGAGATCTGTAAGATGGATAAAATCACTCTGGCCCTCTTCTCTCTTTCTACCCCTGTCATAAAGGAATTTATGCAGAGGAAAGTGCTGCAAAGCCAACAGGATTCAGAAGTAATCAGTCAAAAAACATTTAAGGCAGTGTCTTACTATGTAGCCTTGGCTGGCCTGGAACTTACTATGTAGATCAGGCCAGACTTAAATTCAGAGATCTGCCTGCCTCTGACTCCCAAGTACTGGGATCAAAGGTGTACACCACCATGCCCAGCAGCAAAATTTTCTTAAATAAGGTCTATGAGGTTATTCCTACAGAAAAATTAACTACATGCAGAAAGAATGAGAATACATGTTGTCAATAGATACTTGGCTATCTTTCTTTACAATAGATATGTTTAATTTCTTGGTTAAAAATCTCTCTACTTGGGAAATTGTATCTCCACAGTTCCACATTTGCCTCATCTCCAGGATGCTAGTGCAAGGCAGACTCTCACACAGGCCACAGCAGCCTGCCTCCGTCTGGTGTCTGCACACTGCTTACAATGTTGCTGTATGCTGGGGCAGTAGTGGGGCAGACGCTGGGGCAAGGCTTCACCAAAGCTAGAAGATCCACTATCACACACCTGCAGTTTCCTGCCACCTCTTTTCCCCACAGACCTGCTTTAGTATCTAGCAAGACGGAAGTCAGGTTCCCACAATGAGCTTTCTGAGGGATAAGCAAGGAAGAAGCCATATGCCTTTAATAGCCTAATCTGAGATGTCACACATAATCACTCTGTCACATTCTGGTCGCTGGCCATGAGCAAATATGTGTAGCCTGCCCTCCAGACAGTGGAAACAAATCCTCCATCCTTTGAAGAAAAGCTATCAAAGAACATGTAATGTGTTTTACACCACCTCAAGGTAATTCCTAGGTAGTATCTGCTAATACATTTAAAAATACTGGTTACGGTATGAACATTTTGCCTGTATGTATGTGTGTCTACCACATGCCCAGGGAAGTCTGAAGAAGGTGTTGGCTTCCCCTGGAGCTAAAGTTACAGATGGTGGTGAGCCACCATGTGGTTGCTAGGAACTGAACTCTGGACCTCTGGGCCATCTCAACAGCCTGCCTCTTTAATTCTTACACTGCTCCTTCTGTTCTACCTTTTTACATATATTTTCTAAAGTATTTATCATCATACCTAATTTGTTTATGCCATTTTTGACCTTTCTTTCCCAGATTATGAACTTCTAAAGAAAAAAAAAAGTATACTAATGTAGAACAGTGGCTGGCAAAATGGAAGTTCTATTTTTCAATGAATTAATATATTATGAATGTATGATTAAGTGGGGGTTTCTTGTCGCTGTCGTTTAGAGAGGGTTTCTCTGTGTAGCCCAGGCAACCCTCAAACAGGGGCCTACCTGGCTCTGCCTACCAAGTGCTGGAATTAAAGGCATACACCACCTCTGCCGGTTTTTCTTTATTTATATTTTTTTATTTACAGTGCATGTAATTGAACCTGGGATCTCAGGCATGCTAGGCAAGAACATTATCACTGAGCTCTTTTATTTTCTTTAATCTTTGTCTTTTTTAAAACTTTAATTTGATTTGTGTGTTTGGGTGTTTTGTCTATATGCACATCTGTGCACCACATCTATATAGCACCTGAAAAGGCTAGAAAAGTGTGTCAGATTCCCTGGAACTGGGTGGTTGTGAGCTTCCATGTGGATACTGAGAATCAAACCCAGATCCTCTGGAAAATCAGCCAGTGTTTTAACAATGAACCATCGCTATAGCACCTTTTTTTTTTGTCTTAAAAAAAAAAAAATCAGTGGGTATATATATATGTGTGTGTGTTCCTGTGTGATGTGTGTGGAACTTTGCACTTGTGAAGGTCAGAGGACAACTTTATGGAGTCAGTTCTTTCCTTCCAGGGACCGAACTCAAGCCAGGCTTGTGTGGCAAGTGCCTTTACCCACTGAGCCGTCTTAATGGCCTTTATCTTCTGAAACGGTCTTGTTATGTTAACCAGACTGTCCTCTAGTTCTTGATTCATTCTCCTGCTGCAGCCTGCCAAGCCCCGGAGTCATGACTGTGTCACCATACTTGTCTCTGACAGTGAGTTTTAATCTCTTTCTTTGTATTTTTCCTACCATGTGTTTTGCCTTGCATTAATTTCAAATCAGGGGAAAAGCTATATTCATTACAAGAAAGACACATAAAAGGTCACTGATGTATACATACTGTTTCAGATGATCTTTGGCAAGAGCTAATCTTGCTTGGCGCTGTTTTTCTTCTTTCTCTTGCTCTTCTTTAATAGCTTTTTCTACGCTGAGTTTCAATTGCTTCTCCCATTTTTTATCTGATTTTTCTGTATTCTTTTTGTACTGAATCTGGGCATCACGCTCTTTCATAACTCTACTGAGAAGAAGTCCTGACTACAAAAAAATTGCACTATTTTAAGAAAACTATGTATAATTATACAGAGAAAACTGTTAACTATGCATGTTAAATATACATATATATAAAGAGAAGAGAAGCCAGATAGTACATGAAAGCTCTTCACTCTTTCTGTCTGGTAAAACTGATACTGCTTTGCGCTTTCAATGGCCTTCTTTCTTTCTCCTTCTTTGTGTAGTTCTTCCTCCACATCAAGAATTTGTCTTTCAGCCTCAAGCTCTTCATCACGCTTTTGCTTGGCTTTAAGCTTCTGTTCTTTCATTCCCTGTGAAAAGAGAAAGTAATCTCTCTTTTTCTTTTTTCAGTGTTGGGGATAAAACTCAGGGCCCAAAAGCAAACTTTTGTTTTTATTTTTCAATTTAACTGACCCAAAAGTTAATATCAATGCATGATCACTTGAATTTCATTATGAATTTTAATTGTTTGCATGGTTCATTAGTAAACATGACCTTAACACCTCAAACTAATTTTAAGTTGTATTTTGTTAGATAGTTTATGCACATGGCTGTGTTGTCTGCATCATGTGCTTGCTGGAGCCCGAGGAGGTGAGAAGAGGTTGTTGAATGTCCTAGGGCTGCAGTTACAGAACATTGTGAAGTGTCACGTATGTGCTGGGAATCATGCCCAGGTCCTCTGGAAGAACAGTCAGTGCTCTTAACCACTTAGTCATCTCTCCAGCCCTGAACTAATTTTTAATTTAATTTTTTAGGTGGGTAGCACATTTACATGATTCAAAATCTAAAACCATTAATGGTCCAAAGGTCCTGAGTCCAATTCCCAGCAACCACATGGTGGCTCATAACCATCTATAGTGAGATCTGGTGCCCTCTTCTGAACACTGTAAAAATCATAAATAAATAAATCTTAAAAAAAAAATAAAACCATTAATGTGGTATATAATGAATTTCTCCAATCCTAAGACTTCATTAAGATTAAAACCTTTTTGGGGCTGCAGAGATGACTCAGTGGTTAACAGCACTGTCTGTTCTTACAAAGGATCCAGGGTCAATTGCTAGCACCCACATGGCAGCTCATAACTGTCTGTAATGCCCATTCCAAGAGATCTGATACCTTCACTCTAATGCGTGTAAAATAAAGTTAAATAAAATTTTAAAAATAAAAATATATTTTTTAAAAAACTTAAAAAAAAAGATTATTAGCCTGTTATGATGGCATACTTTTAATGCCAGCTACTCTGGAGACCCAGTGTGGCACACAATCTCCTTCTGCTGCCTGCAGATCAAGATATAGAACTCTCAGCTCCTTCTCCAGCACCATGTCTACTTGCAGCCTGCCATGTTTCCTGCCATGATGATAATGAGCTAAACCTCTGAACTGAAAGCCAGCCCCAATTAAATATTTTCCTTTATAAGAGTTGCCATGGTCATGGTTTCTCTTCACAGCAATAGAAACCCTAATTAAGACAGGGGTCAACCTGGAACTGATTAAAAAAAAAAATCTCAAAAAGGAAAATAAAATTTTGTCTTTTAAGTAATAATTCAAGATATATATGACAGGAATTATTTTCAAATATATACATTTTCTTTGTGACAGGATCTCATGGAACCTGGGCTAGCTTTAAGCTCACTGCATAGTCAAAGATGACCTTGAATTTTTCATTTTCCTTGCCATCTCCAACATGATTGGCTTTGAATGGGCTACAGACTGCCTCCAGGGTTTCCTGAGTCCAGCAGGCACTCTATCAGATGCGCTACATCCCCAGCCCTGTTTCTGTTATTATTGTTTGTTTGTGTGTTTCTTGAGACAGGGTCTTAATATATTGACCAGGCTGGCCTTGAACTACCTCACTAGGTAGTTCAGGCTGGCCTCGAAACCAAGGTCTTTATGCCTTAGCTTCCTGAGTATTTGGATTGCAAGGATGCACCACCACACTTCTGATATTTTTAAAGTTCTATGAATCAATAACAAAACAAATCTAATCACAAAAATTTGAGGAGGTGGAAAACAAGTTCATTAAAAGATATTTAGCCAGCGATCTAGTTTCCTTTCCATTGATGTGATAAAACTTTGGCCAAAACCAACTCAAGTAAGGAACAAATTTATTTGGCTTATACTTTCAGGTCACAATTCATCACTGAGGGAAGTTATGACAGAAACTCAAAGTAGGAACCCGAAGCAGAAGTTATGGAGGAACATGGCTCACAGGCTTACCCCCAGACTTGCTCAGGCTCAAGTTCAGGGAGATTGCTTCCTTCTACAGTCCAGGACCACCAGCCTAGGTATGGGGCCTCCTGAATTGTTCTGGGCCTCCTACTCAATTATCAGTCAAGACAACCCCTCACAGGCAGGCCCATAGGCCAAACTCATGAAAACAATTACTCAACTCACCTGAGAATTTTTTCAGGTGATTCCAGGTTGTCACATTAAGAGTTAGTGCTAAGATAGCTGGTGAGATGGTTCATCAAGTAAAGGCACTGCCACCAAGGCTGGCAAGAGGAGTTAGGTTCCAAGGACCCACATAGCAGAGAGAGAAATAACCTCCCACAAGTTGTCCTCTGAGCTCCACATGTGCATGATACATACATGTACCATAAATATTTTTTAAAAGATATTTAACATTTGTTATTAGGAAAATTCAAAGTCAAGCTATATGGAAACTCTCACACCCATTAGAATGTCTGAGAAAGACTGCCCATACCAACTATTGATGAGACTATAGGAGCAACATAAGTCTCATCCAGCTGGTGGGAATATAAAATCACAATTATTTTGTGAAACAGTTTGGAAATTTCTTTAAAAAAATTTTGTTTGTTTGCTTTCTTTGGTTTTCAAGACAGGGTTTCTCTGTGTAGCACTGGCTGTCCTGGACTGGGTTTGTAGGCAGGCTGACTTCTAAACACAGAGTTCTGCTTGCCTCTCCCTCCCTGAGTGCTGGGGTTAAAGGCGTGCACCTCAGCGCCTGGCTTAAAATCTAATTTTAAAAGATTTATATTTTCGTGTGTGTCTCTGTGTGTGTCCATGTGTGCAGGTGTCTCAAGAGGCCAGAAGACAGTGTCAGAGGCCCTGGAGCTGGTGTTACAGGTGATTGTGAGCTGCTCAGTTGAGTCCTGAATGAAAACTCCTCTGAAAAAAACTGTTGTTGACTATTAATGGCTGGAAAGCCTTTTCTACCAGACTCTCTTTGTTAACTTTGCAAGAAAGTGTCTGCGCCCCTGCTGAGGAGCTCCAGGAGCCAGGCGCTACAAGTTCTGCCTCTGGGCTCCCCCTACATCTTTCCCTGGGTCCCCCTCTTCAGCCCCCCGGAGTGCCACACCCTGTGAGTCCCTGGAAGGGGTGCTCGGATCTTCAGGCTGTGCTGCTGGCCTCTCTACAGCTCCAGAGAGCAACACCTCAGGACTCCAGGGCTGCTGAGGCTAACCTCCACAGCCCTTGGACCTGAGACAAGACGCCTGGAGAAACTGAGAAGCTGAAGCCACAGAGAAAACAGCAGAACCTGAGGCCTCAGTTATGGCTGCTGCTGACAGGGAACTCTGGGAAAGGGAGGCATTTAACTGGAGCTAGTGTGTGAGCTCCACGCACCGGCGTCTTTGTAGCAACAATGTATAAACTAGCCATTCCTCCAAGGTAGGGAGCTTTACATAGTCTGACACTGCTAGCCAGGAACCAGAACTAGAAATCTGACCCTTTAGTACACTAAGTTCATAGTTTAGTTAAGGAAAGTTGTTTTGTTTAGAGTTCAAGTCTGTGTAAACCCCCTAGGGCATGAGTTAATAGGCTTCTCCCCACACCTCTCTAACTGGCATTCACAACAGTCATCTCCTGCCCATCAGTGGGCCCCTCCCAGATTTATGCTAATTTTAGGTAAAAAAAAGCTGGACAAAACCCACCAATCCCAAAGCTTCCCCCAAGCTCAGGACTTGAAATCCCACCAATCCTCACTCTGGAAATCCCTGCCTTGGAATGCTGTTTTTTGCCCAGACTGTGTTTGCCCAGTTCTTTGCCTGGGCGCAGAGGCAGCCACTCCCAGCTTCATCCCTCTAATAAATCTGTTTTGATTTACTGCCTGGTGTGACTCATCGGAGGGGTGGAGCTCAGGCTCCTCAGGTCCTCAGATGTTGGGGTCACCCTCCCCTAGGCACTGCAATGTCTCTGCTGACAGAGGTCTCCCCTCAGAGCTGTGTGGTTCCCCGCTCCCTTGTCTCAGGGTACCCTTTCCCTTAAGGCACTGCCCCACCTCGGAGCTGGGATACCTTCCCTGGCCTTGGAGTTTTGGGTTTCTGGGACACCTCCCTACCCAATCAGGAAGGCCCACAGCTGTGGGCACTGTTCACTGTGGAGCCATCTTAAGATTTATTATTTATACAGTATTCTGTCTGCGTGTGAGTCAGGAGGTCAGAAGAGGGCATCAGCTCTCATTACAGATGGTTGTGAGCCACCATGCGGTTGCTGGGAATTGAACTCAGGGTCTTTGGAAGAACAGCCAGTGCTGTTGACCTCTACACCATCTCTCCAGCCCTCCAGCCACCTTTTAACCCATTTACTAACTATAAGCTGATCATGTGATTTCACTACTTATTCTCATCAAGGTATTTACTCAAGAGAAATGGGAATATATGTCCATATACAGACTTACATGAATATTCACAGTAACCATATTTATAGTAGTCAAATGATGAAGACAACCCAGATGTCACTATTCGGTTGACGTCATGCCATCAAGTGACCAGCTAAATAAACTGTAGTGTACCAAACACTGGACTCCTACTCAGCAATAGAAAGAGTGTATAAAAGCATGAATAACTCTCAAAGTGATTCTGTTAAATAAATAATAAATGATAAATGAGGGGTGACCTACTAATTTCTAAGGAGAGACAAGGAGCTAAACAGGGCCTGGAAACGTTTAGGTGATTAATGCTCATTATCTTAACCATATGATGGTTTTGGAGGTATATACATACCAAAAGGTAACAAAATGTTTACTTTAATTGGGTCATTTATAGTATGTTACTAAAAGACCTTGAACAGTTTGAGCATAACATTATAAAAGGTGTTAAGACACTACTAAGAAGCAACAGTTAGTATTCAAAGCCTGTGACTTCTGGAAGGGTGATACTTACTGCGTATGTGTTAGTCCAGTGTTTTACCAAGTTCTGGGACTGGGTGTGCATCCTTCTCTTTGCCGTTCTTTCTGCACGAAGGGCTGCTGCTTCTCTTGTCAACTTGTCCAGGGTACCCCGAATCCTTTCCCACTCATTGTGTGGGATTATGGTGACCTCCTGGAGATCAACCTTTCTGGGCAGGAGAGGTGGATAGGGAACGCCATCTTTTTCACAGTCCTTCGTTCCTAAATCATTTAAAAACATAATTATTAAGGACTTTTCCAGGAAGACAATATAATTTTTTTTTCTCAGAAATGTCTGTAGTGGCATGGTATCTAGGAATTGCCTCAAATGTGTAACTTAAGAATGGCTGAGGGAAAAAAATACAAGGTTTTATGAAATCAGATAAAATTGAGCAAATCTTTGGTGATTTCCTTCATGTGTAAACTTGGGCAAGACATTTGACTTTGAGGAATCTTGATGTTAGAGCAGAAAAAAATTCCTGGTCAAAAGAATGAAATCTATGGTCTGGGTGGAGACCAAATATTCTAGTTGGGTTGGTTCAAACACTTTGGCTCAGGGTTCATCCTTGAACTCATCTTAAGCCATACTAATAAGATAGGAAGAACAAGCTCTTTAGTAAGATCCATTTAAAGTAAATATTTAAAATGTTAAACTTTGACAAGTATGTGCCTCCAAAACCATCATTACAATTCAAATAACAGCTACATTCATCAACAACAGGTCCTGTTTTACCCCTTGTCATTCCTTCTTAAGCCTTACACCACCACTCATCTATTTTTATTACAGATTTTATTCAAAGTAATTACTTTGAGATTCATTCATGTTGTTATATAGGTGATTTCATTGCTTTTTATTCTTTTCCAGAATCCCTGCCACTAATGTAGAAACTTGTAGGCCGCAGCCATGTAATGCTCGGTCTGTGCACTCTTCTGAACTGAGTATATTCTCAGAGTATATTCTCCTTTTCTTCTCTCTTCTAAGCATGCTTTCCTTAACACTGTGGGCTTTCCCCCAGCATTCTGGACTTCCTCATTCTTTCTCCAAAGCAATGGTTCTCAACCTGTGAGTTATGACCCCTTTGGGGGTTGAATGACACTTTCATGGGAGTTGCCTTAGAGCATTGGAAAACACAAATATTTATAGTAGGATGCAGTCATGAAGTAGCAAAGAAAATAATTTTATGGTTGGAGGTCACCATAACATGAGGAACTGTATTAAAGGGTCACAGCATTCGGAAAGTTGAGAAGCACTGCTCTAAAGCTTCTCTCCTCACTGCATAGCTGCTTGTCCACCATGTCTGGTTTTTATGCCAGTTTAAAAGACATAGTTCTTTGTCTTTTTCTTTCTGCAGTTTTTTCTTTTTTTAAAAAAAAAAAATTGTTCTTGAGGTTCTGTTTGGGTGCATTCTTAAATTTTTTTTATTAATGAGACTAAAAATCCCCAAAGAGTACCTTGATTACCCCTATGTCAATGCTCTCTTTTCAGACTGTGACCAAAAATGACTATACAAATAGGTTGTAACAAAGCATCTGCTCAGTTAACTGCGTCATTCCATAGGTGGATAGTTTTAGGAAAATTCATCTGTTGCATTTGCAGACATTGTGATGGACTCTATACAACTTCTTCCCCATCAAGGCAATCTGAAGAGCCAACTACAGTCTTGGGCCAGGTCTAGTTAGTTTGAAAATACAGATACCTCCCATGCCAACAATTATTTCTCTAACATTAATCAAAGAAACAGAAAAGCTCTTCTTTGTTTTGAGAGAGACGTGAGACTTTCAAGCTGAGCTTGAGTAAGAAAGTAAGAGAGATGGATAGGGAGCCATTCCATGATTTCAAGAGGAACCAGCTTTGGATGAAACTGTTACTATGAAATGCAAAGAAGAAGTAAAGTTAAGCAGCTAGAGCAATGATAATTTTTTTCGGAGCAGGGGGTGTTTCAAGACAGGGTTTTTCTGTTTTAGCCCTGGCTGTCCTGGAACTCTGTTGACCAGGCTGGCCTAGAACGCACAAAGATCCACCTGCCTCTGTCTCCCAAGTGCTGGGATTCAAGGCATGCACCTCCATCACCTGGCTGAGCAATGATGATCTTATGGTGATAATCAACCCAACCTGAAGTCTATGGTGACTGTTCTACAAGTAAATACATTTTCTTATTTTTTAATAAGTTGGATATTCTGTTAGATGTTGTTAAAAATAAAATTAGTGTTGGGCTATATAATGTTTATTATTTGCCCTATAATTGTTGTGGCACTATTATTTAACCCACTATCACAATTAATCAGATACAGACACCTATTAAATTTTATAATTGTCTTATTTACCTTGGGTTGGGCAAATACCTACCCTGTCTCAATAACCTCACATCCACCTCCCAGGCCCATCCAATGCCATCTGCCTTAACCATTCCTATCTGGACTACCTTCCACCCATAATCCTATAAATATTTGCTTTTATTCTTCATCTGGGCCTTTCCACGCCATTATTGGAGTCCTTCCTCCTAGGCCACGTGGTTCTTCCTCCATACTAACCCATTGTAGTATCCTCCTTCTTTCTCTCTTTCCATCTGTTTCCCATGATTCTCCTGTCCTCAAAAGCCCAGGAACCTTAGCCACGCCTACCCCATTCTGCCATGCCCAGGTATAGGCCGTTTAATCAGCCAATCAGGTAGGTTTGCGCAAGGATAGGTGTATCTAGGCAGTAACCAGATCTAGAGCGCCAGTAATTAGCATCAAAATACAAGCATCAGACCAACCCCTAACAGACACAAACTCAAAACAACCTAAGTGATACAGTGGAGCTCATTAAAAACTCTCTTCGAAAACAAGCTCAAACTCAAACTCAGGACCCTCCTGCCTCAGCCCCCTGAGGAGCTAGGATTCCAGGTAAGTATTACTGTGCCTAGCTTAGGTTTCAACACCCCTCAATGTTGCTGGCCTAGCAACAGAAATTTGTGGGAGATTACCACCGTATGTATTTAAATCACAACACCAAGGAACTGTTAGACATGATTGTTATAGTCCAAGAATAGCCACACAAACCACTCAGACTGCAATCTCTGTCAGATATTGATAGTTTATTGAACACACCCATCAAGACTGATCATGATCAGGGACACAGTGGACTTGGGAGCCAAACTGTGATAACAAGTTGTTCTCAGAGTTTTTTGTTTGTTTGTTTTTTGAGACAGGATTTCTCTGTGAAGCCTTGGCTGTCCTGGACTCACTTTGTAGACCAGGATGGCCTTGAATTCAGAGATCCACCTGCCTTTGTCTCCCCGACTGCTGGGATCACAGGCATGTGCCACCACATTCAGCTCTCAGAGTGAGCTTTTTTTTTTCAAGATTTATTTATTTTATGTATATGAACACACTGTTTTTCATGCACACCAGAAGAAGGCATCAGATTCCATTACAGATGGTTGCGAGTCACCATTTGGTTGCTGGGACTTGAACTCAGGACCTCTGGAAGAACAGCCTCTTAACTGCTGAGCCATCTCTCCAGCCCCAGAGTGAGCTTTTAAAAGATCACAACCAAGCAGGAAGAATCAACTCTATTCCAGGCACATGGTGCCTAGGTAGCTAAGCAAAGCATTTCAACTGACTTGTTAAGGTGATTGGCTAGGACACAGGGTATAGGAACTTGGGGACTTTCCACTTCCCTGTTTGGGAGGTTGGGACCTTCTAGCTCCTATCATTCCCATGAGAAAGGAATATATCAGGATAGTGTAGTTTAACTCAAGAAGAACACACATTTACCACTAACTCAGGCAGAACATACATTTATCACCTCTGTTATTCTGTTCTAAGCAGCAAGTATTGAATTGCGCACTAAGGAAGACAAAATGGCTGTTCTTCCTCTTTTTTTTTTTTTAATTCACTTTACATCCTAATCGTAGCCTCCCTCCTCTCTTCCTGCTCCCTCCATCCCTCCCTCTTTTCCCCATACCCTCTCCCATATCCCTCAGAAAAGGGGTGACCACCCCCACCAACCTATCCCAGCACATCATCTTCCTGAACCCATCCTCTTCCTCGGTAGCCTGGCAAGGCAGCCTTTTCAGGGGGAAGTGATCAGAAAGCATGCAACCGAGTCCCTGATCCCCTTATTAAGGAACCCACATGAAGACCAAACTGCCCATAGGCTACTATGTCTGGGGGGGGCCTAGGTCCAGTCCATGTATGGTCTTTGGTTGATGCTTTAGTCTCTGCCATACTCCCCTGTGCCCAGATTAGTTGGCTCTTGTTGTCTCCTTGTTGAGTTCCTGTCCCCTTCAGGTCCTTCTATCCTTTATCGCCGCCCGCCCCCCCCTTCAAAAAGGCTCCTATGTTCCGCCCAATGTTTAGCTGTGAGTCTCACCATCTGTTTCAATCCTGTGCTGGGCAGAGCCTCTCTCAAAGGACAGCTATGCTAGGTTCCCGTTTGCAAGCAGAATAGAGTGTCAGGGCTTGGCTAGAGAGCCAAGTGTGGGTCTAGAGACCCAAGGCTAGAGACCCTCAGTGTGGGTCTCAGGTTGGGCCAGGAATTGGTTAAATATTCCCTCAATCTCTACTCTATTTCTATCCCTGCACATCTTGTAGGCAGGCTAAATTTTGGGTCAAAGTTTCTGTGGGTGGGTTGGCGTTCCCCTCCCCCAATTAGAAGCCCTGTCTGGTTGAGGATGGTGCCTTCAGTCTCCATGACCCCGGCTACTAGGGGTCTCAGCTAGAGTCGCCCCCATATCCTCCCAGGAGCCTACCCTGTTTGTAAGTCTCCAAAATGGCTGTTCTAGTGTTAGGCAGTAAGGCCTGGACATGTCTGGGCATGTCTCACTCTTGTTGGGACTGGTTAAATATTCCCTCAATCTCTACTCTATTTCTATCCCTGCACATCTTGTAGGCAGGGTAAATTTTGGGTCAAAGTTTCTGTGGGTGGGTTGGCGTTCCCCTCCCCCAGTTAGAAGCCCTGTCTGGTTGAGGATGGTGTCTTCAGTCTCCATGACCCCGGCTACTAGGGGTCTCAGCTAGAGTCACCCCCATATCCTCCCAGGAGCCTACCCTGTTTGTAAGTCTCCAAAATGGCTGTTCTAGTGTTAGGCAGTAAGGCCTGGACATGTCTGGGCATGTCTCACTCTTGTTGGGCCTCAACAATGATGAATCATAACAATTATTTACAAAATGTTCTTGTGGGTGAATCAAATTTCCTAATGATCTCACTGATCAGACTGTGTCTCTCCTGGGGTGGGGGGCGGTGGTATTGCTACAGAGCTCAGGCAAACCATGAAGATAGTTCAAATTTCCAAGAATCTACTAGTTACCATGACAACAATCAAACTTGTGGTTAGACTTGATAAAAAAAATTTTTTTAAGTCCTACTTGCCCACATCTATGACAAAATCAAATCTTAGGTCTTTATGTAGCCTTGACTGTCCCGGACTTTGTAGACCAGGCTGGCTTCGAACTCACATAGATCCGCCTGCATCTGCCTCTGCCCCCTCAAGCTGCTGGTATTACATGTGTGCGGCACCGCCCCAGCTCCTACCATATTTTTTACACCATCAAAGCATTTAACTTGGGGAAAGCTTTAATTTTAGAGTGGAAAGAACTGAGATATTTCCCTGAGCTTTAGGAAGGACTACTCAGCAGGCCTGCAACAGAATGAAGACTTTGATAAGTCAGTAACGTTTCCAAACGGCATTCCAAAATGTATCCAAGGAACAACAAAACTTAAGAGCCCCCTTTGGGGTACGGCGTCCGACTTTCTGCTTACCCCTATTCCCGTAAACTTTCTACTGCGCAACCCTACTCCTCTTTCCACTCATTCACCTGACGGCCAACCTGCCTAACTTCCAAGGATGCTTACTGGGAGTACTTCCGATTTGGCAAAGCACGATTCAAAGGGCAGCCGAAGCCTTCTCTTCGTTGCCGGGGTTCTAGACACAATCCCAGCCCCGGAACGGGCCAGGGCCGCTCACCTGTGCTTTCCTTCGACAGTCCCGAGCGCCGTCCAAAACGCGCCTGCATCTCTAACGAGCTGAGGCCCGCGGGTCCGGCGGGCTGAGGACACTCCGGCTACGCCAACTTCAACGACAGAATGGTTACTAAACCGTTTGGTTGTTTAGCAACCACGCCGGAAGTGACGCTAGTCGTCCTCTAGGAACCGGGGAGGAGCCCGGGCCAAAGCCGAGTCCTAGGACTGAGGCGCGGAAGTGCGTGTGCGCGGTGCGGAGCTGCGGGCGAGCAGCGGCGCTCGCGTTCCGGCATCGACGTCAGGCACGAGGACCAACCGGCGGATGCTGGAGCCGGTGCTGCCTGCGACCGGGGCCTGGGTCAGTGAGGAGCCCTCGGTCCCTCCGGGCCGCTGTTGCCTTCCCCACGCGCTGCACTAGTTTGGAGCCGGCCAGCGTGCGAGTCAAGGCCCTGGCTGGGTAGCGGCTTGAGGTGAAGGACAGAGCCCTCTTGACCACAGAACCCCACGGATTAAGGGACATAAAAGCTTGGTTTGTGAGGCATGGTCAGGACTAGATAAGACCCTGATGATTGTTATATGAAACTGCTTGGTGAATAAATTGTTGTTAGTGCGCTTGGGAACCAGCCAGTCTCTAATGACGGAGAAATACGTTAATAGTGGACTGGCACTTGATCACGAAAGAGGCGTTCCTGTCCCATCGATGTACAGATGATTTCATTACTAAGTAGTTGGCACTACCGGTGAATTACGCAGCATTTCTTGTTCCTCAAAATGAAAAAGCAAGTGCGATTTGCAGTAGTGAAAGTTCTAACGCGCCGTTGTGCTGTCTCTCTTCAGGTTTTCTATCAGGTGTTCCACTGTAATGATGCGGGTAAGTATGGAAGTAATAATATCAATCGGAAGAACTTTGTGTACATATACTAGTGAGTTAGAAGCGTGGCTTAAAACATAAGAGCTGAAAAGGTCAGGAAGTTTACTCTGTGTACAGGCAAACAGCTCCTGGCGTACTTTGTAGGAGACCCATGATGGATGATCGTGAGGGATCAGTGAATTTACACAGTGCATCATCAGCAAATTTTGCCTTGATTTTGCTGAGCCCCTGTTCCCACAAGGTAATGTAGAGCAGGCAAGAAGTCCTGTGGCAGTGATGTGTGTGGCATCATAGGACAGGCTCTCTGAGCTGAGGGAACTCAAATCACAAGGGACAACATGCGTGTCTTTTATGTCTTTTAACATGTTCACTATAGAGACAGTTCGAGGCAGCTGGGGCTCTGAACACATTGAAGACAGACGCAGTGAAGGCCAAGTCTCTCAATGAAAATCCTCAGGACTTTTACTAAATTATTTGCACATATTGAACCTCATAAAATGTCATTAATTTTCTAATTTGTCATAGTTTCATATATGACTTCAGACTCCTGATTGCAACTCCAACCTAAAATTTAAAAAAAAATTTTTTTTCAGAGAATTTTTTAATAAGTTATTTATTTTTATTTTATGTACATTGGTGTTTTGCCTGCATGTATGTCAGTGAGGGGATGTCAGATTCCCTGAAACTAAAATTGCAGACAGTTGTGAGATTCCATGTAGGTGCCGGGAATTGAACCCCAGTCATTTGGAAAAATACCCAGTGCTTTTAACTGCTAAGCCATCTCTCCAGCCCCCCAACCTAAACTCTTTACATACAAGTTGATCTAGAACTGGTTATTTGAGTTTTTTGTTTGCTTGCATCATAACCCTGATATTTTTTTGTTTTTATACTTTTCCTTTTATTTTTTTATAATTTATTCATTATCCTGATTGAAGCCCCTCCCTCAACTTCTCCCAGCCCCCCTTTCTCCTGCTTCTCCCCATCCCCTTCCACTAGTCCACTGAAAGGGGAAATTCTCCTCTTCTTCTGCCATTTGCTCACAGCTTATCATGTCTCATCAGGACTGCCTGGATACTCTTCCTATGTGGCCTGGTAAGGCCCCTTTGCCAGGGGCAAGTGACCAAAGAGCAGGCAGCTGAGTTCATGGACAGAGGCAGCCCCTGCTCCCCTTACTCAGGAACCTACATGGAGATAGCTATCTATGGGTTACATCTGAGCAGGGGGTCTAGGTGCTCTCCATGCATGGTCCTTCATTGGTGTATCAGTCTCTGCAGGACTCCCTGGGCACAGCCCTAGTTTTTGTTGCTGTAAATTGAAGGTGGCATTCACACCATAATTAGAAACAGAATTTAAATTAATACATAGACATTTTTTAAAATAAAATCACAAGAAAAACTACAAGTGACTATTAAACCACTCACTAAGAACCTGCCACCGTCCATAAACCATTTTTATGTTTATTTTATTTTATTGTGTTTGTTTTTGTGTGAGGTGTGTGCACATGAGTAAAGGTGCCCGAAGAGGCTAGAGCTGTTAGATGCCCCTGGAGGGAAGTTATAGGTAGGTGATAAGCCACTCAAACGTGTATTTGTCTACAGACACTGTGTGCTCTTAACTGCTGAGCCACCTCTCCTCCCCTTATTTATTTACTTACTGGGAGGTTTGTGTGTGTGTGTATATATATATGAACACGTGCCATGGAGCCCAGTGGCATTAAATCCCCGAGAACTGGAGTTGTACCACCAGACGTGGGTTCCGAAAACTGAACTTGGGTGCTCTGCCAAAGCAGTGTGCACCCCTAACCAGTGAGCCATCTCTCCAGCCCTGAGAATAAGCTGTTTTGTTTTGTTTTTAATAAAATATGTTAGTGTGTGTGTGTTGACTGAATGCAGCAGTGAAAAAGTGTGGTCAGAGGAGCACGGGTTTCTCTCCTTCAGCAGCAGCTTGCAGGGGTCCTTCAGCCTGACGGGGTCATCTCACCGGCCCTCTTTATGTTGTGCAAGTAACAGAAGCTGGGCACAAGCTTGCAGCATTACGTCTGCCTCAGGCTCCTGAGTGCTTGGGGTCCTGGTGTGAGCAATTGTGCCTGGTCTGATTTTCAGATTTAAGTAAAAGAGTTCCCAGGTAAATTCACATTGTTAAAAGTGAATGTGTGCACTTCCTTAATTTTTTATTTTAAGTGTATCACTAATGTCGGAATAATTTATTGATAATAAAATATAGCATTTCCCCTTTAATGAGAAAAATGGAAACAATGAAATTCACTTGGCTGAACAGATAATTTTATTAACTAGATAAAATATTTTCATATGATATTTCTTTTTTTGTATTTATTTCAAGTGTATGTGTATAATCAAATTTTGTTTGTTCATTGCCAATACATGGTTTGTTTTTTTTTTTTTTTGATATGAGAAAAAGGAAGCCAATTAGAAAACATAAATTTTAAGCCTTTAAAAGACTTTTATTTTAATTTTAGGAGTTAAATCTCTGTTTCATTGCTGCACATCAGAGCAATTTGTCTGCATACAGAAATGAAATAATGTTTAAAAACAGCTGGCAAATTGAAGATTGCAGTGGCCTAACCTTTATGCTCAAGTAACATTAATTGGACTGCAAGAACTAGTTTGGGTAAGTAGTTTTAATAAAAATATATTTAAAAGACAGAAAAAAAAAACAAAAAACTTTTATATCAACCTTAACTGTACTCTTGTGCTTTTTTCAGGCTGGTCTTCAGAATAAGTTTCTGGATAGCCAGGACTGTGTCGGGGAGTGGGGGAGTTAAGAAATGTCAGTAATTTGTGGTGAATTAAGCTTAGGCTTGAGGCATCATTTGGCTAAGAATGAGTTACATAAGGGAAAAATTTGTTTTGATATGGTGCTGGAGATCAAACTGAGACCTCATAAATGCTAGTGTCTATATATGAACTATGTACACAGCCCTAGGAAACTTTTAAAATCATACACTATAAATCTCCATAAGGCACAGTTAATTAAAATGTTCCTTTTTTGGTGGGTGGGTGCCTGTTGAAGACAGGAATCCTCCACATAGCCCTAGCTGTCCTGAAATTCACTCTCTTGACCAGCCTGGCCTCAAACTCGCAGAGATCTGTCTAGCTCTGCCTAGTGCTGGGATCAAAGGTGTGTGCCACTACCGTACAGCTACCAGTAACCCTTACCAGCTACAGCCACCCTTTCCAGTAGCACCAGAAACCAGTAAGTTCGCATAATAGGAAATTCCCCTCGAGGTTGTGCATGGCCTTCATACACTGCATTCACAGGCACAAAGTCCTTGTGTGTGTCTCTTCTGTCTTTACTAGTTAGCTTTTTCAATAAGCCAGAAAATAGTGCAGCTACATGCCATGTTTTGCATTTTTAATTTATTTCTGTATCTTTTTTCTATTTTGGGGTCCTTCACTTTTTAGAATTTCAACAATTATAACATGAATACAGTTTGTTTTGTTCAGTGTATACTTTAAGGTTAATGAATATTTAACTAAACATTTTCTTCTGTTAAAATTAATCTACTTGGAGCTGGTTATAGTTGTATGCACTTTTAATCCCAGCACTTGGGAAGAAGAGGCAGAGAGATCTCTGAGTTCGAAGCCAGCCTGGTATTAGAGTGAGTTCCAAAACAGCCAGGGCTATACAGAGAAACCTTGTCTCAAAAAACAAAACAAAACAAACAAACAAAAAAAAAAAACAACAAAGCAAATAATAATCATTTCGTCATAACATTTAAAAGATAGGATATAATTTGGGGGCCTTTTCTAATGAACTGTTCTAACTCCCAAATAAAAGACAGTAGATTTATTCAGCAAGCTTTAAGCATTAGAGCTGGGCAGATAAGATCTATTATAAACCTCTGTGCTAGCTGGCTACTTCCCAGACATACGCCCCAATTACTTGCTGTGTTGGTCCTGACTGGGCTCCATCAGCTCAGTCCTCATGGCCATGTCCTTTCTCTACCTCTTCTTTCTTTTCCTCCTGGTTCCTGCCTGAGACCCCAAGACTGGGAACAAAAGTCCTGCCTCCTGTCTTCTTGCCCAGCTGTAGGCAACTTTATTAACCAGCAACTTTATTAACCAATCAGAGATAATTGGGGAGCAATGTTTACACAACACATAACAAAGATCATTGAAGTGACAATGCTCATATCTGGACTGCTGCCAGATCTTGGGCCACAGAAATATCAGCATCTGAATATATAGCACCAGCCCAACCCCCAAAATATCCCTTTCAGTCCAATAAAGGGCTCTTTCTCTTACAAACAATAAGAAAAATTATGAAACAGTTGTGAGAAGGATAATTTAAAAATTACATTCTCAATGTCCAGTCCATTTGTATTTGGCAACTTAGGAGAAAGTACTATCTATCATATCTTGGTAAGTTTAGAGTTCTGTACTTAAATCATTTTCTATCATAGTTTGCATTTATCAACCTAAAAAATTTACTTAGACCTAAAAATATCTTTATAAAACATTTTCTTAAATCATAAACAACTTAAGTTTTTTTGTGAGACAATAACTACCTAGTCTTCAACCCCATCAGAGCCTTGAGAAAGGTATATATTACCTGAGTATGCAGAAAGTGCAGAGCAAGCAGCTTCCAAAATACAGAAATGACAGAGATAGCCGGCTGCCCGAACAGTCACCCAAATTTTCTCTGCAATGTTAAAACATCATCATTAGCCTTCTACCCCGTATATGACAGACGTTTTTGTGAGGCAGGAATTATGAAGGATTGCCTACCTTGCCTTGGGCAAAGTTTGCCAGTCAACTTTCCTGCATAGTTTGTCTAAGTTTGGACAGCATGCTGTTTATAGTTGAAGCAAGTACAGTTTCTTGACCAGTAGCTAGCTTGCCACATTTGAAGCAGACTCCATATGGAGGTTCTTCAATGCCCATCATCTTCCTTCAGGTAGGCTGGAGATGCTGCCAGGCTGACATGTCTCATTATCAAAAAAGCCTTTAATGCATAATAAGAACTGAGCATGGTAGCACATGCCTTTAATTTCAGCATTTGGGAAGCAGGAGCAAGTGGATTACTCTGAGGTCCAGGCCAGCCTGGTCTACCTAGCATGTTTCAGACCAACCACTGGTGTATCGTGAGACCATTTCAGAAAAAAACAAAACAACAAAAAGCCCCACCTTAGTGGATTAGTGATTTAACTAATATTTACTCTGTTTTAGCATGTTAACCAGTTTATTTATTTACTCATTTTTTTCAAGATAAGTTCTTACTGTACAGTCAGGTCAGCCTCAAACTCTTGTTCCTCCTGCTCCAGCCTCTGAAGTGCTAAGATGACAGAATGTGCGACCACACCTAATTCTAAGCAGGTTGACATTGACTTCTGGTTTTAAAGAAGTATAGTAGCTATGTAAACACAGTCTGTTTAGGGAATACTATTTCTTCTTTTTCAGGGTAACCCAAATCTATTACTGGAACCATGAAAGTTTTGTTGGTGTTTGACTTTGACAATACAATCATAGATGACAACAGTGACACCTGGATCGTACAGTGTGCTCCAGACAAAAAGCTTCCTGTTGAATTACAAGATTCTTACCAAAAGGGGTTTTGGACAGAATTTATGGGCAGAGTCTTTAAGTATCTGAGAGACGAAGGGGTAAAAGAAGATGAAATGAAGAGAACAGTGACATCAATGCCTTTCACTTCGGGAATGACAGAACTTTTCAGCTTTCTGAGAATGAATAAGGACAGATTTGACTGCATCATTATTTCAGATTCAAATTCAGTCTTCATAGATTGGGTTTTAGAAGCTGCTGATTTTCATGATGTCTTTGATAACGTGTTTACAAATCCAGCAGCTTTTGATAGCAACGGCCGTCTTGCAGTGAAAAACTGCCATGCTCATTCTTGCAGTAGGTGCCCAAAGAATCTTTGCAAAAATACAGTTTTGGTAGAATTTATAGATGAACAATTACAAAAGGGCGTGAGATATACTCGGATTGTTTATATAGGTGATGGTGGAAATGATGTCTGTCCAGTAACCTTTTTAAAGAAAAATGATGTTGCCATGCCGCGGAAAGGATACACTTTGCATAGAACTCTAGCCAGGATGTCTCAGAATCTTGAGCCTATGGAATCATCTATTGTAGTTTGGTCTTCAGGTGTTGAGATAATTTCTCATTTGCAGTGTCTAATAAAGGATTGATGTGCCAAGTATTGAAATCTGAATTAGTTAAGATTGGGCTCAGCAAAATAAAACTAAATCCCTAATGTTAGTACCTTTAAAAATGTGAGGATTTTCCTCTTAGAAGAATTCTGGTCAAGGGCACTTTGCTGCTCAGCCAACCTCAGCTTTTAGTTCCAACCCGTGATTTGAGGTTGATACCTAAGCTCAAGTCCTCACAACAAACATTCTGACCAAGAACCAGAGCAGTGAGCTTGTAACCCTTTGTTTAAGAATATTTTCCAATTGTACCAGACAGTTCTGTTTGAATACCACAAGCCAAAACCTAGTCAGTGCCTTTTCTAACTGCAAAGATGGAAAGTACAGCTTTCATTTCAGGTGGTCATGTGCCCAGGAAAAAATGGAAAAACAATACGAAATTGAGGTAGGTTTAACTCATGGTCTGTATTAGGGGTGGTTAATGCATTGTATTTTTTTAGACTTTTTTTCTGGAAAAAAACAGGTTTTACTTCCTTCAAAAATATATCCAGCAGTTACAGATGTTGAAATAGCAGATGTGCCCTCTTCCCCTGCTGTCGGCAAGTCATATAGACACTTGAGTGTGTTCAAGATTTAGCTTCACCTAACCCACTACTGTAGCTGAGGAAGGCGTTATTGCTGGAGATGTAATGGATGCTAATACTGCCTTCCAGGAGGCACTGAAGACTGCACTCATCAAAGATGGCCCAGCATGGGGATCATGCAAAACTGCCAAAGCCTTAGGTAAGTGCATGTGTGAACCCAGCTGTGATGAGCCTGTATGTGTCAGGTTGGTGGAGGAGCGTTGTGCTGAGCATGGAAATCGGCCTAATTAAGGTTGATGACAAGAAACTAGGAGTATTTTGGGCATCTGTGAAAGAAAGAGAGGAAATCGTAAACTTCTTGGTTGTGGTGTGTTAAGGATGCCACTGAAGAATGCTTCAAATACAAGAAATAAAATTGGCTTTACTTTCCAAAAACAAAAGCCTGATGCTTTATTCACTTAAGAATAAAAGGCTCTCAAATGTGTATAATGTCTTCTGAAATCTGATTTTAAAACAAGGGAGCAGTGTTTTAAGCTTTATTTGTGTGGGCTTGAGGCATGCGTGATTTGTGTGTGGAGGTCAGAAGACCACTTGTGGGTGTTGGTTCTCATTACACCATGTGGGTTCCAGGGGTTGAACGCAAGTCATCAGCCGTAGTGACAGGTGCCCTTAACCACTGAGCCATCTCACTAGCCAAGATGCAGTTTTTCTTGTTGGAAGTTTTCATCAGTCAGGATTTCCTTTTGAAATGAAATACATTTTTCTCACATGTATCATGTTTATATCATAGCATCATAAATAATTACTATGATACAGTGCTATAGTGCTTTGTTGTTTCAAGACAGGGTCTTACTATGTAACCCAGACAAACCTCAGGCTCTCAATCCTGCCTGTTTGTATCCAGTGTTGGGATTACAGGTATGTACCACCAAGCCTGGCTTCAGCTAGTTTATAAACTGTTATTTATTATTTGGCAATACAGTTGTGAAAAATATGAACTTGGATGAATACTCAACAGTTGAGAAGCTGATGGAATATTAGCAAAATATCCAGCTGATCTAGACATTTTTATAAATGCATGCTAATCCATATGTTCATAACTGAACTTAAATACCCAGGACATGGAATAGGATCTTTTTATGTTTTGGTTTTTGCCATTTTTCTGGTTGTTTGTTTTTGGGTTTTGGTTTTGGTTTTGTGTTTTGTTTTTTGAGACAGGGTCTTACTGTGCAGCCTTAGAACTTGGCATGTACGACAAGCCATCCATGAGCCCACAAACTATCTTCCTGCTTCTTCCTTTTAAGTGCTGGTAGCATAAACATGCATCAACACACTGGCATAGTACAGTTTTCTTAATATCCAGAAATAGAAATAGTCAGTATAATGTGTAATGGAAAAATTGTATTCTAGTTTTCTTTCTAATTATAAAGTGAATCCTTAATAGATTAGATTTTGCTGAAACATTACTTATTGTAGTGAAAATTTTGTAATTTTGGTTTCTTTAAAAAAACAAATGTCATGAGACTATGTTTGTGTTGTAATCCCATGTGTGGGGAATCTGAGGCCGCTTCGCAGCAGCTGACTATGAGTTGCCTCGTGCTCTAGCAGGGCTGTGGTTTTGACAACTGCAGATAGTTTCCAAAATTGTGTGACGTTTGGAATTCCGGGAACTTTTCAGAGACTATTGAAGTGCTAGGCCCTGAGAGGCAGGGTTGCCATTGTTAGCTGCTGCTGATTAGATGCTGTTGATCGCTGTTCGTATGCAAAGAAGTGAGAAGAAGAAATTAGGTACCCTGACAGCAAAGACTGAACTTGCCCCAAGGGAAGCTCCTCATCTGCAGGAAGTGGTCTAAGGATAACTCCACACCTATCCTCTCTATCCTTTTTTCCTCTCCTGTCTACTGTTATGGGGTTAACAAGGGTGGAGAAGCATGGGTGAGGTGGCCCAGGCCTTTCATCCCAGCACTTTGGAGGCAAAGGCCGGTGGATCAGAGTAGATCAGCCTGTTCTACAAAGTGAGTTCCTAGACAGCCAGGGCTATACACAGAAACTATGCCTCTAAAACCTAACTACATCAGAAAGCTAACAACAATGAGGAAATTCTAAAGAAATGCAGAAATGTGGGTGGGAACTGTTTCTCTGTATGTGTTTGAAACCAGTGTAGCTGCACTCTAGTTCAAGGCCAGACTTAGCTACATAATAAGATCATGTCCAAGCAAAAGAAAAAAAAAAAAAAAAAAAAACAGAAATACTAAAACTGATACTAACCATTAACCAATATTAGTGTCTGATGATTTTTTTTTTGTTTTTCTCTTTTAGATAGGTTCTCCCTCTGTAAGCCAGGCTGGCCTCAGAATCAGTTTTCAGCTTCCCAAGTGCCAGGCTTAGAGGTATGTGCAACTATGCCCAGCCTGAAATTAGGATCTTACACAGAGTAAGCATAGCTGGAGTGAGAGTTCATAAACGAACAAAAGATGAAAACATTCAGAATGATACAGGCAGGGATAAAACAATCAAAGAGCAGTTGAACTAAGATCCATTAACTGGGAGGCAGAGGCAGTTCCAGGACAGCCAAGGCTACACAGAAACCTTGTCTCAAAGAAACAAACAACAACAAAGAAAGTGTAACAGGAAATTGGTACTCCCCAGGAGAGAAGACTGAAGTGTGGACATAGTTTATGAGATGATAAAACTTTACAAATTGAAAAAGACTAAAGAGCTAAAGTCATAAACAAGCCAGCCGCAGCACCTAGTCTTACAGCACCTAGTTCTACAGCACGGGCTGACAACTTGAGCTCAAGAAGTCTAAGGCAGCCTTGTCAACATAGCAAAAACAAAACAAAATGGAAGCAGCAGGATAAATAAAACAACTTAGGCTTTGGGTACAATCTAGTAGCCCCGGTTTCGGTCGAAAGCACCGAAAATAAAACAAAATGATCACATAAAAGATTCAAAAAAATGTAAAGGAGCCAAGAAAAACAACAGACAACTCTGGCTATTTTCTGATGTTGGTAGACTTCACTAGTGAGACAGACCCAGAGTTTTTTATTTTAAAAAGTTCTAAACCACGAACTCAAATTATTTAACAGCTCAGCTCTTCTGGTTATATAGTTTTTGGGGTTTCTTTTTTTTATGCTTTGGTAGTTTTTAAGTATGAATTGTTCAAGTTACCTCAGAATTTAACAGTTTAGCCAAATACAGTGGTGCACACCTGTAGTTCCAGTTATTTGTGTGGTACGCGCGCGCGCGCACACACACACACACACACACACACACACACACACACACTGACTTGAGCCGGGAAATTTGGGACCACATGGACAACAGTGATATCCTCCCAATGATAACAAAATAAACTTAGCAGCTTGGAACAGTAAACATGGCCTGTCTGAAGCCAGGAGTTCACAGGCAGTTGACTAGATGTTTCTGGCTTGAGATAAAAGTGGTTCAAGGTACTGGCTGGCTCTTCAGTCAGGTGACAGACAGGCTGGATGAGCCTCTCCCAAGGTGGGTCATTCGCATCTTTTAGCGGGAGACCTAGTTCCTTCTTTTTCTAAATCAGGAAGGCTTAGTTTATCACGGATTGCTGGCTACAGGTTCTGTAGTTAAGTGGGGTTCTGCCACTTAAGTACGGGAACTTCAGTTCAGATCCCCAAACACCCAAGTAAAAGCTGGTGTAGTTGCATGATCTCTAACCCCAGCACTGGGGAACACAGGCTAGTGGATCCTTGAAGCTCAGTGTTCAGCCAACCTAGCAGAATCAGCAAGCTCCAGTTCAGTGAGACACCAGTCTCAGATAATAAGGTGCAGGAGCCAGGAGGTGGTGGGGCGTACCTTTAATCCCAGCACTCTGGAGGCAGAGGCAGGTGGATCTCAGTGAGTTCCAGGACAGCCAAGGCTATACAGAGAAACCCCATCTCAAAAAAAAAAAATCAAAATTAATAATAATAATAATGGCACACAAAGTGTTGGAGTCAAGAAAAAAACCCTTGACAGTGACCTTTGGCCTCCACTAATTCACACATGTATACATACCTACCTGCACATGTGTGTACACACCACACACACACAGAAAACAATTCTTTGGAATGAAATAATGACCATTATATCCATTAGGTCCATTAGGAGGGGCTTTCAGGTTCACCTTGAGATTAACCATCATGCTCCTTTCCCTTTCCTCTTTTCAAAGAGGCCCCTCTAATTTCTTGTCTTTTAAGTTTTATGTATGAATGCACTATCTGCAGGTCACCTGTGTGCCAGAAGAAGGCATCAGATCCCAGTATACATGGTTGTGAGCCACCATGTGGTTGCTGGGAATTGAACTCAGGACCTTTGGAAGATCAGACAGTGCTCTTAACCACTGAGCTACCTCTCCAGCCCCCAATTTCTTGTCTTTTTAAAATCTGTGTTCTGTGTATTTGTTTTTCTGTGTTTTGCTTATTTCTTATAATATGGTAATTTCCAGTTTTGTCCATTTGCCTATAGAGGAAAGTCTTTGATGACATAATTTTGTTCTTCGTAGTAGAATAAAACTACATTGTGCTTCTCTACCACATTTTCTTCATTTATTGAAAAGTGCCTAGGCTGATCAATTAATTTTGCTGTTGTGAATAGTGTCACAACAAACATGGGTTTACAGGTTGTCTCTATTATATTCTGGCTTTGATTCTTTCAGGAACATACCTGAGAATGGTACAGTAAAATCATGAGTTCCTGTCTTTAGTTTTTTAAATAACCTTTTCTTGATATTTGAGTGCATTTTACATCATGCACTCCAATCCCACTCATCTACCTGTCCCTATCTGCGCTCTGCTCTTGCAACTCACTCCGCCTAAAAAACAAAACAAAAACAAAACAAAACAAAAAAACCCTCTCTGGTAATGAAAGCTGGTAGTGACACACAATATACCCTTTTGTCTATACATCTTTACTGGAAATATTCATTGCCAGGAGCCATTGATCTGGTTGGAAGCCTCTACCTTCTGCTACACTATCAATACTGGGTCCTCACTGGGCCTCCTCTCAGAAAGCCTTTTGTTGCCCTGTGCCATGAAGGTCCTGCAGTATAGCCTAAGTGGTCAGTGTGCCAGCTCCCCTGCACTCTCACCACCAGGGTTTGCCCAGCAGCACTGCCCGTTGCTATCCCTCCCATTGCAGCCGTCAAGGAGCAGGGCCAGCTCTGCTATTCTCTCTCACTCC